AAAAGGAACGCCAGTCGTTGATATCCACATGTGTGGTCCCGAAGACACCACGTACACAGTCCGTAGAATCAAAACTTCATCTCAACTCCCACACAACACTATGAACGCAGAAGCAATGTCAGGCCATAGGATGGTACTGAAGATGATGATGAAGGTTCTGTCTTTTTGTGTTACTATCAATACCAAACTGCTATCACGGTTTTGGACAGATCCGTGTTAGATCTACAAAGTCCGTAATCCGAAAGTCTTAAACCCTCTTCAATGCCTCCTCGCTGCTCTTAACTGTGTTGCTCACTATCACCATAAGCACTACATATCCTTATATATGCTCCAAGCAGGCAATAGCAAGAATCCATGTCTGCTACTTTTGTGGTTCAAGTAAGATTAGCGGAGACACCACACTTTCCGCCTGACCCTTGTCCCCCACTACAACCCGGCAGATCCCTTAAAAGGAACCCTAAGAACCCCGTTAAAACCTATAAACCTTAAACCCTAACCCGCCTTTAAAGGAACCCCGAAGAGACTCCCTTAAAAGAGCCCGCAAAACCGTAAAGGAGCCCTTCAAAAGGAACGTGCTCTCCACCTGGCCCTGCGCCAAAATGCGCTTCCGCTGGGCTTCAAGGCGATCTCGGATTAGATGCCTCGCTTAGGTGTTGGGGGTTAAGGGGTTTAGGGCTTAGGGTTGAGTGACATTTAGGGGTGTAGGGTTTAGGGGTTTAAAGACATTTAGTGGTTTAGGGGCTTAGGGTTTCGGGCCCATGGTTTAGGAGTTTAGGGCCGAGGGTTTAGGATTTAGGCGGGAGTTGGGTTCCTTTACTTGAAGGGTCGGGGGACTTAGTTAGTTCGTACTTTTGTAGACTTACAGGCACCCTAGAATACTGTAGTGGTTTAAATGAAGGTTATGATACTTATAAGTCTGTAAGATAAGTAGTTACTGAGTCCCTCGACCGAAGTAAGGCCCCCATTTAGATGTTCATTCAGGATTGCTTTAAGGGTTCTTATAGGCGTTGAGGTTTAATGTGTATATAAGGCTTAGTTTAAGCGGTCCTTTAAAGGTTACTTTTAGGGTTCCTACGAAGGGGGGTTCGGTTAGGGTTTAGGGCTTCAAGCTTGAGCGGTTCATCACGGTTCCTGCAGCAATTCTTTCAAGGGTTCTACGAAGGGGTGGGAATTTGAGGTTGTTGTTTCAGGAATATGATCATGGTTCGGGTTTATAGGTACATATCATTTGGGTCCATCAGGTGAAGGTTGTAGAGTTGCTCGAATCAGGCTACCCCAAAGCTTCCGTGACCCATGTGCGAAGGCTCTTGGGCTAAGCGGCGTAAATGTTTTAGTTGTGTCAGACGTTGCAGTATAGGTGCCTGCGTGATATTATGCCCCCCCAAATCCAAAACCCATCAGCCTAAACCCCATACTCTCCTCTTCAATTGCTAGATTCTGACAGCCGACGCACCCTAACTGCCCGAACTGTGGGAAGGTAGGCTTTGGGTTTTGAGGCTTAGAGTGAATTCGGGATCCCCCTGGCACCGGTAAGACGGACATATGTGGACCTTAGTCGTCTAGAATCATACAGAGACTCTTTTGAAGATACGGTATATAACTCAACTTCGGGTCTCTGTGGTATGTTGGACCCTCCCTGCATTCGGCTTAGGGCTTAAGGCTTAAGCCACATCTCGGGCTTCGAAAAACCCTACCAGGCCTGAGCCATGCTTGCAGCTCCTGTTGCACTCCATCCAAAGTGAAGATGTGGGAGCAGCCTCCTGTCGAGCCACGTTTTAGGGTTTAGGGTTTAGGGTTTAGGGTCACTCCATCCAAAGTGAAGATGTGGGAGCAGCCTCCTGTCGACAATGCAAAGGCCTTCGTAATTAGCAGAGGGCGGGGGTTATAGTAGTATAGTGGAGTACACTTATCACAAGAAGCCACAATATACTCGTTTTTATAATCAGATACCCTGAGGAAAACTGTTGCAAACTGCTCAGGCCCTCTATTCTCTGTGTTTTGAAGATGTTGGGATACACAGGGCTTCTGTGACTGCAGGGGTCAGGAGCTTGGGCTTGAGGATTCCAGATTGCGGATTTAGGTTGAGGGCGGGTGTCTGTGTGTGCGCATGCATTGATGACCGGAGTCTTAAACCAAGTTAACCCTTATGTGATTCTTATGCCTGGGAATTACTCCCCAAAAAGACAACAACAGCCCAAAACCCCACACACCAACCTCTGCCAGCCCATACATTGTATACACTTTGGCCCAGGTATCTCTATAGGGGCTACTTTACGCCCAAAGTACTTTAGAAGTATGCGGACCCTCCTCTGAGCCACTTCTGAACCAAAGGATCGAACACGTCGAGACAAGCAGTCAGCCGATACTTCTTCGCTTCCAAAGCCATTCTGCTACTCACAGCCAAATACTACTCCTCATTAGGGCTTAGGTTTAGCAGATCAAGGCTTTGGGTCCTGAGGAATTATAGGGTTTGGAGCCTAAAATCTAGGGAATAATTATCAGCGGACATAGGTGTTATTCTGATGTCGGCGTCATCGACACCTCTATGTTGGGGAGGTAATCGCCCGAATTCCTGACGGACCTGTGCGAGCTAAGTATCATTAAAATGCTACAGTTTTGACAATTGCCTACAATGTAATATTTTGGTTCCCTGATCTGTTGTTACAGGACACTAGCCATAAAGCAAGCCACACAATAAAACACGTACTACTCTGTCAGTGTAGGGTCTAGGTAGACAGGAACCCTGAACCCGAAACTGAAACCTGGAACTCCGAAGTTTGCACCTGAGCCATTTCAACCCCCGCCCACTTGGAGGGTCGGGGGACTTAGTAACTGGTTATTTTAGGGACTTATAAGTACCATAACCCCAATTAGGGTCTCTTTTAGGGTACTTATAAGTCTACTTACTACCTACTTACTAAGTCCCCCGACCCTCCAAGCAACCATAATATAATATGCCCCACAACCCTAGTCGAACTTTTAAGCCCCCTGTATTGACCTTATAGACCCCTTTGAAAGGCACCCTAAACCCAACCGATGCCTGACTTATTTCGTGGGGGCGGTGGCTTCTCTGGAAGCCGAAGAATTTCTTCGAGCACCTGCGTGGGGCTTCAGGGATACGAGTCTAGTTCTTTTGTTGAACTCATTGTTCCGTCCGGCTAAGCATCCGAAAGGCCGCGAATAGCCAGGAGGGTATGGCCTACGGTTTAGAGTTTATGGTATATACGGGCTTTGGGGTTTAGGGTTTGGGGTTTAGAGAGTCGGGGATGTTTTCTGAGTCAGGATCCGGGTTAACGACAGGATGGCACACAACCCCGAACCCAAACTTCAAACCCTAATCCCAAACCCATTAAACCCCTAAATTGCGACCGGTTGAGGCTGAATGTGCTCACGGCTGTGTAGATGTTACAGAGATAAGACAGACAGCAGGCAATGGAGCCTGCTGGCTTCATGGTCAGGGTCTATGGCTAAAACGTAGGGCGTGGGGTTTAGGGCAAATGGACCGTTCGGGAATCCCACAATGCTCGGTTGCTCGCTGGAAAAGGTCAAACGGACAACAAACAAACAGCGCAGCATAGCATAACATAACATACCATATCATGACGAAGCAAACCGTATCATATCATAGCATAGCAGAACACAGCATATCAAAACTCAACACAGCATAGCATGGCATACCCTAGGAAATCCTTGCATAGCATAGCACAGCAAAACAGACCGTGGCTCCACATAATCTCGTCGAAATCAATCCATGTATGTATGTGCGTGTGCGTGCGGATGGGTATATATATATACACTTACACATGTGTCGAGCTCTGGGTGTTTGAATGTATATAAATATACATATATATGTATATATATATATATATATATATGTATGTATGTGCGCGTGCGTATCCGACACATCGACATGAGAAGACACATGTCACAGCACGTGATATAAACTGCACATGCACAGGCAGGCATACGCTACCCGCAACGAAAGCATGTGTCTTCATACATGTCCTATCTTTTACTGCCCTAACTATCTGTCTACCTATCTCCCTGTCGCTACCTCTCTCACTCTCTCTCTCTCTCTCTCCCTGTCTCTCGCTGTCCGCATCTCTTCCTCCCCCTCGCGCTCTCTCTCTCTCTCTCTCTCGCGTCTCTCTTTCCGTCTCTCTCTCTCGCTTGCTCTCTTGCCCGCTCTCTATCCAAAGATCGATGTACCTGTCATTATATATGTATCGATCTATCTACCTGTCGATCTCTCATCTCTCGTTATGCCTATCTGTTTATCTGAACATCTACCTGTCTATTTTCACTATCTACTTGTCTAGCTATCTATCTGTCTATGGGTGTGTCTCTGTATCTCTATCCATCCCTCGATGTGGCGATCGATCACGTCATCTTTGAACATATCACAGTCTTTCGAAACCGTTGCGACGGCCGTGAAGACTTTATCGCTGCCTTTAGTTTTCGTTGCAGACCATGTGCAGCTCTGTGTCCTTGATGCCAAACAGAGAAGCAAACGTTCTTGAGAGCCCGGACACTCTTAATATTAACAATCAGACACCCCTGAAGCCTCAAACGTTCCAGTCCCAAAGCAGCAAACCTGAAACCCCAGATCTACTTTAACGACACCTACACCAAACAACCTCACAGCCATAAACCCCTTAACTCTGAGCCTGATGCCCCGAACTAAACTCTAAACCCGGACTTCAAGGTACAACCCTAAGCTCTGAACCTTAAACTCATACCCTCCTTCAACCAAACCCTGAACCCTGAAGCGTAAACCTACTGTAGGAGTCTAGATAAATACAAAGACGATTCCTTATGGTTCTTAATATAGTTATACCATAAAGGAGCCCCAAACCCTATTCTAATTTGCAAGGCCCCTACATTCTAAACCCTCTTAGTGACCCTTAAAGTAATCCTTATAGACCTCTTTAAACAGAACCCTTTAATGGGAACCCTAAGGCCACAACCAGGCGTGGAAAGCCCTGGGTCTTTTTCAGATCTCATCGACACCACCCGCAGCACGCGAGCCAGCGAAGACCCCAAACGCCTGCCAGGCTAAGGCTAATGTAGGAACCCGATTAAGAAACCTTGGGCCTTTATTTGGGTTCCTTATATGAATCCTACTATTTTGGGGTTGTAGGCCCAGGGTTTCTTAATCAGGTTCCTACATTACCTCTACCTTTCGTCTCGATTGTAATTCCTTTTTGGGACCACTTGAAGTATTGGTTAGCTTAAGACTAAATGAAAAGGAACTACAATGGAAACTACGGGCCATAGGTTCGGGCGTACCACAGAAGCCAAGATAATGCGGGTTCTACCAGGGCTTCAGAGAGTTTTCGAGAGTTTACACGGACCTGTATCTAAAGGAGTCACGATATGGGCCTCAGTCCGGGCGGCCTTTTGATTACATGGGGTGTCATCATTTCTGACTCGGTACCTCTGGAGGAGAGTCTTCCGGACGCAGGGGCTCTCCTTGTGCGCAGGCCTGCCCTCGTCTTGTGGCCCGCACGCGCGCCGGCAAGGATCGCGATGTTTTCAGGCGTCACCGCCTGCACCAAGGGACCTAAATCCTCGACCCAGCTGCGACAGGCATTCTTAGGTTTACATCACCTGCTCCTGACTGTAAGGCGGTAGTTGTTGTGGTGCCAGCAGGTCTCTTTCCCCAGCCTTACGCAGCAGCCAGATTTAGGGAAACACGCTACTTCACGTGGTGCACTGCTGTGGCACGTCTGAACAAACAGGAGTAGCTGATAGCCTTACCTCTCACAGTCTTGTCCAGGCTTGAAGATACATGTTTCGGAGCCTTATCGATGTAGTCGGTCAGCGTTGCATCACCCAGCTGCAACTCCTGCCCCAGGCTTCGGAAAGGTAACAGTCGAAGGGTGCAGCAATGTGCGTGTGTAGTCTCTGATCTGCTTGCCACTGGCTTTATTAGGATCTCAAGATTCGGGTTTGATTGCAATGTGCAATCACCCTCCATCCATGAAGGACGCCAGCTTTGAGGTTCCGGCACAGTAACTGATGTCTTTGTATGCAAAAGCTTCATGCGAGAAGACTGCCTGAACATGTAATAAAAAACTCTCGTCCAGGCGCTTGCCCTATTGCTAATACCCCGCAGCGTCAGGCTTTGGGGCAAGTACTGGTGAGCAGTGCCTCCCAACCGAACTCCCTTAAGAAGTTCTATTGATAACCTAGAGCCTCCATCTACCCTCTATTAGACCCTAAATCCCCCTTCTTTGGGACCATATACCCCTATTCGAGGGTACAAGGAGGGTCCTGGAAAACCATTCCTCAAGCCCCGTTCGCGTGCGTTCATGCGGCCCCTTGGCCTGGCATATACCCAGAGACTCCAATATCCCTTAGTTAAGGAATAGACCTTAAATTATGATAAGATCCCTAATATGAGTTAAGGTATATTCCTTAATTAAGGAATATACCTTAAATTTTTAATAGGATCCCTCATATGATTTAAGGTATATTCCTTAATTAAGGGATCTTGGAGTCTCTGGGTATTGAGTGCCCCTCCTCTGCAAGGTGAAGGCGTTTGGGGTTTGGGTGTTTCGAGTTCAGGGTTTCCTGGCTTGTAGCATCTGCAGTTTCCCGAGAGACGGGTTCAGGGAAATATCTTGCCGAAAGTCAAGGAGACACCATGCACTGACTCCCGGAATGTACGGCAATCGAAGGCTATGGAACCCTGTTCCGGCACCCGAAACTGATGACATGCAGTATTCTGCGTACGCCTTCAATTTTTGCATATGTAGAAGCCCGCATGAGTCCAGGACTCTAAGTCTCTTGGCGTATGAACCGCCCTTAACTGAAAACCCCCCCAGCCGCTAAACCCTAAACACCTAAACCCTAACTCCGATCCTGGCGTAGCCAGGCCACGCGTCCCAGGTCTAGGATCCGCTTGGCCATCATGCCGACCTCGTCTAGGGTTTACAGGTTTCGCGGGGTTCAGGGTTTGCTTTCCTCTATTAGCTCTCCTTGTTTCGTGACTAAGACCACATGGGGCAAACCGAGACCGCGTGCAAAAGCATGAGGCACGCTGTAGTTCTACTCATTGGAAACTATCCATCAACAGCCTGCGGCCAGTGCTGCGCGAGTCACGAGACTAGTTCAAAGAAAGTCCTCTCAGTGCGCTGCCAGGGCAATCGCAATTGTATGGTTCATAGTAAGTAAGACTTAACTACTACAGTGACTTATGTATAGATCTCATGTAGGCGTATAAGAAAATGATTACGCTTGAGAGTGACCCCAGGGTCCATGACAACACCGCTCGGCCACAGCTCAAGCACACGCGCAGGGTGCAGGGGCCACGAGGTTCCTGAGTTTGTTACAGGAATATTGTTGGCTTCCATCCCCTAAACCCTACGTCCGAAACCTGGTTCAGGTACTATGCCAACGACAGAGCCTTGCGGGACCACCGTCATGCTAGAGTCTGAAGCTTTCGGACTCTATAGCAGCGAAAATCGGATCCAGGATCGGATAAAAGCTCTGAATCCAAACACTGGCATAGCCTGCGGAAGTCTACTCATGGGTCCCGAAAGACAGCATAAACACCATGGGGGCCCCCTCAATGGAGCCGTTCACCGTTACACCAGCAATAAGGATCCACATGCTGGCATGCTTTATCTCAGGCCCAAGGATATGCTGACACTAGACGTGTCAAAACGGTAGGCGGCCAGGTGAGATACACGAGGCGCCCGGACCTTGTTTAGAACTACTTGGGTTTCCACCTAGGAGGTAAGCACACCATTTGTGTGTTTTGGAGATGAAACCATAACAATCATAACAACAAATGAACACAGACAACTAAAGAACACTCAAGAACCGTGTAGTCCAGGGTTAGTAAGAGGGGGATTTCGATCACTCTGCGAATACAAATCGTGTGAACAGTTTTGTGAGGTATCTCGGTATCTCTGTTCTATACCATCATAGTGGGGACTCTGGGCACTTAGGGGGATACTGCTACTAATTGTTCCCACCCTAAATTGAGTTCCACGCGCGCCGCTTCTCCACATCTCTGGCCCCGTCGCCACCGACGGCCCAGCCGGCTGTGCTGACAAACTGCGAAAATTCCTGCAACCATGGCACGGCGTGGTTCAGACACCCTCAGACGCTCAGCCCTATAACGGAACCGACAAATTACAAGCAAAAACAAACTGAATCTCAAATCAACCCTACAGCTCGGGCAAACCCCGAAGCCACAAACTCGCTCGGTCCTCAGGCGATTGACAAAGACCCAGGTCGGCCAAGAACGGCCTGGCACTTTCTTAGATGATCATAGATGCAACTGTATAAACATGAACAAGACAAGAAACGACATATCTGTCCATACATACATGCATGCATGCATACATATGTACATATTTACAGACATACATACATGATTAATTACAGACATGCACATAATATGTACATACAAACGCACACATGCACGTGATTTTCGGCGAGAGAATCCGTCCGGGACACACGTATGCAGGTTTAAGGTTCGCGGAGTGTTGTGACTAAGTAGGAAAAGGGGCTTTGCTGTTCTAGAACTTAGCATTCTTGAAGTTGCCATCATTGTTGTAACCGCTCTTGCCACTACTACGGACTTCAACATACCGATTTCTCACTTTATTCTGCGTATATAACCCTTGTATAGCAACCCGCTATATACAATACAGCATAACGTACAAACCCCCAGGGCCCAAAACCCTTCACGCGAACTGCCTGGTAACTCCCAACAAACGCTGCGAGCCTCTAGTCCCTTGCTGCAACGCTGGAAAAGTCCGGGAATCCTGAAGAATAAGTGCAGGATACGCCCCGAAGTTTTTCCGTCTTGTCTTTGGGCGCTGCTGGAAGTCTTAGTAGGGTTTTGTATGCTTCTAGACTAGGTGTCGACTTCAACTGTCCCCAAAACTATTCATAACCAGGGCTCCGTATATTTAACACTTGTCAAGATTATCCCAAATCGATACCCAGTAGATGGCTTTGGGAGTTCTGCGGTTTATGACTGAGTTGCTTGAAGGGTCAGGGGCCGTACTTTAGTGGCACTTCGGAGGATGTATGTTGTTCGCCACTCGGAAATGCGACTCACGAAGCCACTCGATCATTCAAGTATCGTAGTTTTGCTAGCCCTCTTCCTTTTCCACTCTCCCCAAGCCTGTTCACGTAGCTCTTTGGGTCACAGCGATGGTGGCAGCAGGTGGCGATGCAAACGCCGAAACACGGCCCTTGCAAAGAGGAGACGGTCTCGGGCTTAGGGTTCAAAGTTGCTGAGCGAGTTCTGCTTGCGCTTGAGGGTTAGGGGTTGAGGTAGAGCCAGCTGCAAAAAGACCGGGCTGGCAGTTGACGCTGAGAGAAGCAAGCCCTAAAGTCGTAATTGAACCAGTATACAATGAACAATAGCTGTTTTGTGAAATTAGGCAGGCGATCCGAAATAAACCCTAAACCCTAAAACCCTAAACCGTTTGCAAACTATCCAAACATCATTGAGATCGGTGGTTCTTTGCCAACAGCGACTGGATGTCGGGGGACGCGAACTTCAATAGAGCTACTTGCTTGTATATAAACTTAGTTCTAAGGGTGACGTACTAGGAGTCCCAGATCATCGAATAAGATCTCCTGGAAGCTCAGGAGGCCTGAACATCCAAGGCCGCAAATCGCTGGGAAACTCGGATCAGCCCATGAAAGCCGACGAACACATTCTCAAACCAAACACCTTGCGGACCAAAGAAAAGAAACGCATAACATGCCCAGTGGCCTAGATCGCCCCTGTGAGCAATGCTATTCCCTGAGGTGCTGTATCAAACTTCAACTGTATCATACCCCACGGCCCTAATCTAATTGGTGCGGCTTGCAGAAGCGCATGTCCGGATCCAAATGAATGCAGGCCATTCCCTAAGGGTCCATGTACCCAAATAGGATAGACTTTAGCCTTACTGTAGTCCCTATATAGGTACTTTGGGGCCAAGGTATCTACTGTTTGGATACATGGACCCTTAGGGATTGGGGTGTAGGGAGTAAGGCTTGGAAAACCCTAGAGCCAGGAAACCTAAAAACCATACAAACCCATTCAAGCTCATGCCGTTAGGCCCGACCTGTAGCCGAAAAAACTACAGCTTTAGGGATCCTGAGTAGTGTTTTCAATATATAGATCTTGAAAAAGGTAGGTCTTTTGGGCCACAGCTAATCTACACCCTCTACCATAGATCATGGCAGGATGCCATGTTTGAGAGGCTGCCTTTGGGCCTCCTGCGCGGCTTGCAGGCAGGGACTGAGATGCTGAGTTGTGCAGGAATCCTTGGGCCCTGAACCCTGGTTTAGGGTTGTGGGTTTAGGGTTGGCTGGCGCTTCGAAGGTTCGGGGGTTTTTGGGGGGGGTGTCCTAGGAAGAATTGGAAGATATCAGGCATCAGGGCAAATCGCTGGTAGCCTGTTTAGGATATCCAGCTGGAGACTGGCCATCAGGTCTTGGAGGGTCGGTGGATTTAGTAAGTGAGCACTATAGACTTTCAAGTACCCTAACAAGGGTTCTAATATGGGTTACAAGTCTATACAATACTGCTTAATTAATGCTGCTTACTAAGTCCTCCGAGGCTATATTGAATAGATTCGGGGCTTGGGACAGAGACCCCACAGCACCCTTCACAGGCCCGGTCTGTCTTTCAGAAGGGTTGCTAAGGCTCTACGGGCAGTTGCAGGTATTCGGAGCTTCTGGAATAGATACATCATGGCATCTTCCGAACTCCTGGGCCTAAAAGGTCAACCTAAACCTCTAAGCCGGGGGTGCCGTGCTATTTTGCGGACCTAAAAGGGTACCAAACTTAGAGAACTACCCAAACCGTGCACGAGCTCCGAGATAGAGCCAGCTCTGATGTCCGAGCTAGGGATTGAAGGAGCCTTGTCGCTTGCCCTAAGGCCCTAAGGGTCCTTGTACACGAATAGTCTTTACGCTGGCCTTAAAGTAATCCCCATGTAGGTACTTTAGAGCCAAAGTATATACGGTTTGGGTACATGGATCCTGAGGGTTGTGTACGGGGTCTTTGTATTCCGCTTAGCGTTTAGTTGCACATCAACGCAGAATCTCGGTCACATCAACGCAGAGTTTCGGTTCGGGACTATAAGGGCATACTGTTGCTAGTTTTTTGCCGACCCAGATTACATGAAGCCGGCAACTCCTTAACTATCAACTGCATTTATATGCTCTCCAACACCACAGCAACCGGAAACAAAATCAAAACAAGTGTCTTCCTAGCCATGCACTCCCATCCCCACGAGGTAAGAGCCTTTCAACTCAAACTCAAGAACCCTAAACAAATCACCCTAAACCTAAACTCTTACAACAAAGCTCTTTTCGCCGAAGCTCCCTAAACCCTAAACTCTGAACCTGAACTCATACGACAAAGCTCTCTTCACCAAAGCTCGGAACCAGCCCCAAAATCCTGAACCCTAACCCTAAACCCTAAACCCATCCCAGTGCGGCCACTGTGTGGTTTGTCCTTGAGTGATCGAAGAGCAATGTCTGTGGCGCCACCACCTCTGGTCTGCCACTGGAAAGGTTTACGGTTTGGAGGTTTAGGGTTTTAGGGTTGGGGGTTTAAGATTCGACATTGCCAACTCTTCGTGAAACAAATCTCGCTAAGTACCGACTGGGGTGCACCTTCAGCAGACTCCTCTGGTTTGCTTCTGTCTTCGTCCAACTACCCCAGCAGTAAACTGCAAGCCTCGGGGACGCATATGTTCCTAGCACTCAAACCAAGGTCCAGCCCACCTGCATGTGATCTACGACTCTTGGTGGTTCTTGGCCACGCCGCCAAGAGTACTTAAAGGGTCATCGGACTTAGTAACTAGGGTTTAACTAAGGTAACTAGACTTATACAATTACTTATAACCCCAATTAAGGTACTTATAACCTTACTTACTAATTAAGTCCCATGATCCTCCAAGTAAGGATCCAAAAGCTGTCACAATCGTTCTGTTTAGAGCGGGGAACAGCTCTCAAGTCGCCGAGGGGGCCAGTTTTTTCTGTACTTCCCTCTGTCTCTCTCTGGATGTGTGTATGTGTTTTTATATACATATATATATATATACATACAACTTTATGTGTGTGTATACCGATATCTCATAATATGTACATGGACGCTTAGGCGTGCGCAGGTGTGTGTGTGTGTATGTCAGGGTGGGGGGGGGGGCCTAGTGCGGATTTCCAAAACTATTCCCTGCCCACGACCATTGCCCGTATACCGGACAGGAAATCCCTGCAATAGATAGCATCATTCCCCGAACCCTGTTTAAAACCAAAAAATCCGAAGACCTGAAGCCGAACCCAACAAAAACTAAACCCCAAAACCTACACAGCGAAGGCTCATAACCTAAAACAACTTCCTTAAGACCCAGAACCCTAAAAACCCTACACCCTGAATCATCTCAAGACCCAAACCTCTAAGACAGCTCCGAGAAGCAGAGGTGCTTAGCACAAGCGCCCAGACGGACGGGAGGCCAGGTACCGCTGGACTGGCGTTTGGATTTCGGGCTAAGGGTACAAGGGCTCTATACCCTACAGTAGAAGCCCGAAAGTTGGAAATCCAATGGCTACAATGCTTAAGAGTAAAGGGAATCCCAGCACTATTTGGCCTTAATCCGGTTTCCAACTTCATGGGGCTTACTGTAAACCCTAAAGCCCTAAACCCTAAATTGGTGTTTGTTATAGTATCCTTAAGGGAGGGGGCTCCAAGGGGGGTATATAGCCTAGTGATCCCTAGCTCTCCCTAGTACTCCCTAAGGTTCCCTTACAGTCCCCTAAGGATTCCTTGTACCCTCCCCCCTTGAACCACCCCCCCTTAAGGATCCTATCAGTTTGGGTTGGGTTTAGGTCTTCGGGGTTTGGGGCTTCAGATTTGGGTTGGTTTGTGGTCTTATACCTGGTTTTGCTTTCAGGTGGGCGCAATGACCCCTTACGACCCTGTGGGGCTCGAACCCACCCCCATATAAGGACTAAGCGTTAAATCGTAACCCTAACAATCCCTGAACTCTAAACCCTGCATCCCGCGAATATATTCAGGTATTTCGCCATCAAGAGTACTATAGGGGCCTGAACAATTAGCATAGGGTGTTGGGGTCCATCATACTGTAATTAGTGTTTAACGAACCCCAAAATAGCAGATCCAGTGTCTTTGATTGGAGATTGGATTGCGGGGGGTATATATCATAGAATAGTACTACAGAGACGATAACTGTGCGATACGGTATGATGTTTCTAACTAGTCCGACCTCTGCACAAGAGTCTTTAGAGGATTAAAGCGAGAAGTCTGGATTGGAGTTTGCTGTTTTTGGCATGCAGGGCTTGGCTAAGTTGGCTGAGGCGCTCAGGAGCTGCACGATGCGATGGAATAAACTGATGAAACCTCCAACCTTAAACTCGGGAGCCCCCAAACCTTAAACCCTAAATCCCTGAGCCCAATATTCAGAACTCCGTTGTTGAGCTTTCGATTGCAGGCCGAGACAGCTGGGATGGTTTGAGACTTCAGTTTGAGGTTGCACGGTTGGTTTACAACTTACAGCGGCAGGCCTATTCCTTTAGGCTCACTCAAGACTGCTAGGATGTGGGGCTCTGGTCTGCTGTTACAAAGCTGCGCATCAGCCAGCGGCCTGGAACTCAGAGGCCATCCGCCACAGCTCCTTCAGAGGGCACTTGCAAGTACTTGCAAGTCCACTGACGTGACGTGGGTAGTTTAGGCTCCGTTTTAGGGTCCGTTTTATAAGGGTGCTGCCTTCTTTTGGGTTCCTCAAATGGAACCCTGCCTACGTGAAAGCCGTGAACTGCACCCGAAACTCGCAACACCTCTAAGCCCCAATCTGTCATGCCGAAGCAGCTTGGTAGGAACTCCAGATTCACCCTGCACTCAACAACTAAGCGAAAGGCGGCAGAAGACAAAGACACGAACACAAGAGCGTGGGCATATCCACCAAGGAAGCTCGGCACGTTTTGCTCAAAGTTGGATGGGGGCCCGAAGCGGAAGAAGAATCTTGAAGGTGAGCCCAACCAAGCCGCACAAGCTCAGCACTTGAGCCTTGATGAAGATCCGGAGACTACCAGAAAAGTTCAGAGTTTGGAGTGCAGGGTTTATAGAGTTTACTTAACTCCGACACTAGAAGCACTCAGCATGGAACGGCCGACCGCATCAGTTGAAGGAGAACAACCGGTGATAATCTGTTTAGGATGTCCCCAGCTCAGATGTGATACTTTGACGGGGTGCAACAACACGCAAAACTTCCTACGGCATCCCCTCAAGCCTAAAACCCGACTCCCTGACCCCTTAGATCAAGGCCCCAAGTCCTTAAAGTTTGAAAGCCCAGGCCTCTGACTCATACGGCCCTAAACCTACAAGCCATCCAAAAGTTGCTTTTAGGGTTTACGGTGAACAGCATCCCTAAACCCAACCCTCAACCCTAAATCCCTATAAACCCTAAGCCTCCCCAAATTTAGTTAGTTCAGCCCTGAGGCTGAGGTTTAGTATTTTTTTTTTCAATAGGGTTTAGGGTTCAGGGTTTGGCGGTCTAGGCTGTCGACGGGTTTACGGTTTAGGATTTTAGTTTCGGGTTTAGGGTTCAGGGTTTAAGCTCTACCTAAACCTTAAACCCCATAGATCTCTGATAGAATCCTTTAAGGAATCCCTTAAGGAACCCTTTAAGCTACTAAGTCCCATGTCAACCCGGCCTCCAGCCGCTCTGCAGGGCCCAGGCAGCCAGCTGCTCCGCTGAGCGACCTTCATCGTCTCAAGGCCGTATCTACTTGGAGGATCGTGTGACTTAGAAACTTAAAGGGTCCCGGGTTTAGGGTTTAGGGACCCTCAGGCTCCAAAGTAGTTCCTTTTTGGGGGTTCATATTAAGAATTCTATAAGGTATTCCCAAAAAGGAGCTACTGTGGAGCCTCTGGGTACGTGGAGGATCGCGGGACTTAGAAACTTAAAGGGTCCCGTAAAGCGGTTCCTCAAACAGGTTTAGGGTTGAGGGTCTACCTGGAGGATCATGGGACCTAGTAAGTAAGTAAGGTTATAAATACCTGAATTGGGGTTATAGGCTAGGTATTCATAAGTATGGTAACTTAAAGGGTCCCGTAAAGGGGCTTTTTAAAGGGGTTTAGGGTTGAGGGTCTACTTGGAGGATCAGAGGACTTAGTAGGTAAGGTTATAAGTAGCTTAGTTGGGGTTGTAAGTATTTGTAAGCATAGTTACCTTAACTATAACCCTAGATACGAAGTCCCATGACCCTTTAAGTAGGTTCCCCAGTGTCCCTTAGGTTCCCCATTAAAGGTACTTTCAGGGTCCCTTTAACGGGTTCTATAAGGGTCCTAGAAGGGATCCCGAGTAGTACACTTTTCCTGGTATTCAGTTTCAAAAAGGCAGCCCGAATATAAAAAGTGCAACAGGGTATCACTGCGGAACTGCGGAACCTAGTTCAAGGACATCTAGGGGATCATCGTTTTGGGCCCTGGGTTCTAGGGTTTAGGGTTTGATACTTGCATTTCACAGAGGGCGTTCCCAAGGGTGTTTACGGAGAACCAGCGACTCCCGAACTCTCTGGGGAACATGAGAATTCTTAACATGCTTTATACATAGGGGCTCCATTAGAGGGAGAGGGCTTGCCTAAAAACCCAACTGTCACGGCCCCTTGTTGGCATCTTTCGCCACGCAAAGGCCTTAATGAAGGCCCTGAAGCGGGAACCATCTACCTGCACCCCCAGACTCGCAAGTCCCCAGTCTTATAAACCTAAAACCCTCAAACCCCACATCCTAACCCGTACCAGGAAACCTTCTCCACGGTGATTGCTCTTGCCTTGGTGCCTCTGAAGCTCTTGCCACCTGTCTATTGGACCCACGGGAGTTCCAATTCCCAAAAACCCAGACCCGGAAAATTAGACTAGTGACTAGTGTTTTGGGGGCTTCTACACTATCAGCAGTATATCAGGGAACCCCGAGGAAACATGCTACTGATGATGCAAACCCTGAATTAATTACACCAAAAGACTAAAGTCTCCTAAAGTCTAAGAAAGCTTGTGGATATGTGGATATATGCGTTTCCCCCTATCTAGGTATCTGAAACCCTGATTTGGGCCTACACCCATCACACGAAACCCTAGTCCCTAAAACCAAAGCCCTGTAAACAAAACTTCCAAACCCCAAACCAGCAAATCTAAACACTAAACCCAATGATCTGGGGCCCTGGACAGCGCGTCGCTTCGAAAATCGGAGGCACGGGGGAGCCCGGCTGCCTCCTCAGTCGAGCTTCGAAGAGTGGTGGGTTTCCTGCATAAGCTGTAACAGTCAACCCTGAACCCCAAAAGCCCTTGAAAAGCCTAAATGCCCGAAACATCCTCGAGCTATGCCCTACCCAGACTCCAAAGAACCTACCTCTATGGCCGGCATTTTAAGAACAGCTTTTGTTACGGTCCGCCCTTAAGTCTCAAGAAACCTCCCTTCCAAGTCCCAGGCCAGTGCTGGACCAAGAAATCCACCGAGATCGAAATCGGCGATGTCCACGCGGAGGCGCAGCACCTCATGATTTCTTGTAATGTAGGGGCCGTGATAATCAAACGAGGGCTCGGGGGTATAGTATACAAAATTGATGATAAGGAGCCTCCCTAACCCCATTCCTCACGATTTCTTGTACTTAGGGTCGGGGGACTTAACTAGACTTATGAGTACCTTAAAAAGGGACCGTAATTGGGGTTGCGATACTTATAAGTACACAAGATAACTACTTACCAAGTCCCCCGACCCTGCAATTGGGCGCCATGACAGTTGGAATTGAGGCTTGGGGTCCATTCTAGTATGACTGGCATGGGAGCCAGAACGGGGTGCTGTCAATATTTCCTGCGACCTCAGCATTATAGCGCTGATCGGGCACATCTTAAGCTGTTGAAGCGGTTCAAGCTTCTGGGCTCTCAAATGCCATAAAAACTTTTATCATAAAAACTAAGGGAATTGCGGTATGGCATTTTGATCCTCAGGAGTTTATTTGTTCAGTTCGGGAGTTCAGCTTTTGGGAGTGTAGGGCTGGGGATATGGGAGGGCGTTTGCCCTAAACCCTAAACCCCACTAGCCCGAGTGCCGAGTGCTCTGCTAATCAAAGACATTCTCTGGAAGTGCAGTTCCTTCTTTCGGTTAACCTGCCTTTGGCATAGCATCCACTAAGACAAAAATCCTGAAAACAAGCCAAGCGAACAACTGAAGTAGATTGAAGACTGCACGTAGAAACCATGCTGGCAGTAATGTTTAACACACCAATAAAACCACTTATAAGACGAAAGCTCAAGTTTAAAGCCCAGGCAACCCCTAAACATCCCTAAGCCATGAATAACAGCCCAAGTAGAGCCCCTCCAAAAGAGTGGCCCTCCAAAAGAACAGTGTTTAAAAGACACCCACGTCGGAGAATGGCCTGCTCCTCGCGCTTGTCGTGTTTGTTCTCAAACTTGTGCCTTCCATGTGGCTTAGGGTTTTGGGGGTTTTGGGAATTTGAGATCGTGCAGGCGGATAACAGAGCAAACTACTGAGCAAAACGCCACCCGTTGCCCCTACATTGGGCCTACATTCCCTGCAAACCAGCCGTGGCACACCCTTTTGCTGTGAGATGCATGCACGCTGCATGTTTCACTGGAGGACGCAACTCTGCTCAGAATCCTCCCGAGAGTTTCCGAGTCTAAGGATCGGGGCACTTAGCAAGCGGGATGGACAGCCCGTTCTGTGGATCCAAAAAGCTACCGTTTTTAGGGTTAGACCTTCTATAGATTATGGGGTCATAACCTACTATTTTGTAGGGTTTGGGGTCACAGGGTTGATCAGGGTCAACCTTGAATCTACTTTTTACTAAGTCCTCGGATCATCTATATAGATGGTTGTATGATTGGCAATCCTCCTCCTGAGAGCCCAATGCCCCATACTTAGGATGGGATATACCATCACACAAAGGCGTCTACTAGTTAAGGTATACTCTATAAACTCAACAGACACAGGGCTCTCTGGGTCCTGGATCACTGCTACCTGCTACGGGTGCGTCAGCATCGCTTCTCGCAAGGCTCAGTCCTGTCGGCAGTGGTGCAATTGGGAGGCTTCCTCCAAGCTCGAGGCATACCAAAAGTCTATGCCATAATGGTAGAAGTTCTAGAAACCCGATACTGTAAGCACTAAAGTAACTGCTTCGGCGCAGCTACACAAGGCATTCCCAAAAACGATGTTGCTGCATGGATGTTCAACTCAGAGCTCCACATGTCGGGTTTAGGGTTCACGGTCTTAGACTTCAGGGTCTAGGGGTTTAGGGCCTCGGGGTTTTATGATTCAGGGACGTTTAGGGTCTGAAGGTGATTCGAGCAAGCTCCCTTCGACACCGGCACTCTAAGGGAAACCGTCGCCCACATGAGACGCAAACCCTCGAAGCAGGTGCGTGACATCCATGACTGTTGTCAGTATTGAGGGCGCTACATATAACGGAGTACCAGAACCCCTGAAATCTATAAGTTGATAAACCCTATCAACACCCTGAGCCCTTTCTGGTCTCCTGGTTGGCATTTGCCAAGGCTTCGAACTCATCGAAGCTGCCAGGGTTAATGTCGGGCTCCTCGAAACTGCGAATGTGCGAAACGAGATAGGCGCCTACAACTTGGAGGGTCATGGGACTTAGTAAGGTCACTCGCAGCAAGATTGAGGCTACAATAAGTAGTCATATGAATAGCTACCGTATAACCCTAGTTTCTCTGAGTCTCGTGACCATTTACGTAGGGATTCCTCTACAGGATAAGGCTCCTATAAGGAGGGATTTAGGGTCTTCCCCTGACCCCAGAGTTCGCATCCGAGTCGTTGGTACGAATCTTGGGAATCCTAGCATGGCTAACATCGTATCGAATATAATAGGAGAATATATATATATATATATATATATATATGTGTTTATGTTTATACACATGCTATAATATGTAATTATGTGTATATATATATATATATATAAACAAATAAATAAATATATATATATATATATATACATATATATACATATATATATATATATATATAAATACATATATATATATATATATATATATATATATATATATATATACACATACACATACACATACACATACACGCACATACACATACACATACACATACACATGCACATACACATAGACATACATATCCATATACATATACACTTGACGGCTACATCATGGGGCAACTGTATTCAGCGCTCCATCTGTACACCAATTATCCTAAGATACCCGTATCAGCAGCATCCCAAAACGTTCGATGCTCCGGAAAGCCCATCACAAAAGGAAGAATACGAAACTCCAAACCCCGATCCTTGGGGCAAGCAGACAAGGAGAAGTAGCACAATTTCAATGCACAAGTACTTCGTAGCACTTCGATGACGACGGTGATCAACACGGGTGACCATTAAGCAACGATCTTGACGCATGTATAGAATTCAACACCATCTCACGATGCTTCTGACTCCCGCACAAGATGTGTCCGGGGTGTTGTGCTGCAGGACTTCCGAGCTGTGTGTCGAGATTTAGACTTGGCATTTGCTAGTAATGTAAAGAGTGCAGTATTGAATGCCATCTCGCACAGAAAGAAGATGTCGGGAAACCCGGGTGTGGGAGTCCAAAACTAAGCCTTTGCGTGCGTGCGTGTGTGTGTGTGTGCGCTTGTATTTGATTGTTGTACAGGTTGGGGTTTATCGGTTCTCGCATCTAGAGGCTTGATAACCCTTGATATCCAAAACGTTCAAATCTTGCGTTCTGCATCAGCAGATTTGCCGCAACGCGTCGCACTGCTGCACCATGCTGTTGTAAACTAAAACAGCACTCACCAAGTCTAGTTGCAAAAACCGTAAAACCTTGAAGCCCTAAACCCCCAGAACCCTGGACCTGATCCCGTAACCCGATAAACCCTCAAGCCCTTGAGACCCCAATCCCTAATCCATAGAGAACCCCCACAGTATCAGTATAGCTAAACCCATGTATAAACCATTATCCGAAGTTCTACAACCCTCAGCCCCAAACCGTGGCTAAACTTAACGGTGCGCTAAACCCTCACCCCTTTGCTGTCCTCCTGTCCCTGCTTCACGACGACAGCCTGGGAGAATCCCGCATGCCGCATGCACGGAGCACTGCCCAAAGTGATCTACGTGGGAGGGTCGGAGGACTTAATGAGTAGGTATTAAGTAGACTTATAAGTACCCCAAACAGGGAACCTACTTGAGGATATGATACTTACAAGTCTGTAAGAATAAGTACCGTTTATCCCCCCACCCTCCAAGTACGTAGGAACTTCGTTTTGAAGCGTGATATAGCGCATCACTGAACGTTTAGGTGCCCGGGCAAGATTTAGGGTAGCCCCTCCATTCTGGAGTAAACCTTAAATCGCATCTGTGATTTATGAGTTGAGATACCTTTAAAACCCAAAACCCCAAAAACTAAACCTCCGACCCCAGAACCCTATCTACTAAACCCCTAGAACCTGAGTTAAGGTCTGCTGGAGTCTCTGAGTAGGGCGAGAAGAGTTTCGGCCGAAGTACTCGAATTTCGTTGCAGTGGTCTACGTTTGTCGACATGCTATAACTGCCGCTGTGCCAGGACCCCCCCAGGGCCCTTTAATAGAGTCCTTATGGCTCTTAATAGTGTGTATTCGCGGTACATTAGAGGGTAGTCGGGGGGTCTAGGTGATGTCGGCAGGGGATATTCTGACCACGGCTGGGAAGATGGGGGTGCTTAGGAAAGAGTCGCTACTTGCAAGATTCTGCAAGATGTCGCAAATAAATTAATGACGGCTATGGTCTCTGCATGTTTCGACTAAAGTGTTCTTTTCGAACTATGCTAAACCAGCACTAGTGCAGCAACATTCCCAACACCTTCCTACTTCTGATTGCGTGTGCATTGGGCCGACCCAGGAGCCTTCAACCAAGGAGACTGGCGGTCTGATGCTGCAACCGAGACGCGCTCATCTGAAAGAGCACCTCCTCATCCGTGTCCGTCTCATCGCAGGTTTGGCCAGAACATGGTGACTCGTCATCCTCGTCAGGGCCGTTCCTCCCACTAAATACATTCATTTTGGGGTGTTTAAAAGCTTCGCATTGTGAACACCATCCTGGCATACCGACTTGCCGTCAGCCTGGGTGAAATCATAGTTGTGGGTCAAAGTATATACTCCTTGTTATGGGACTTGGACCCTTACATTAGTCCTCTTTTTTATGTACCCTCTGGCTTCTTTTCATCGGCAGTATCAAGCCCCATACACGAAAGGTTCTGATGCCACAGGGGTCTGCTCACGAACTCTGGAGTTGAAACACTGCACACCATGATCTCAGAGTCATAGTCAGACTAGAAAACACAAAATGACCTGCAGAAACAGAACGAAGCTCGAGAACAGGACGATCACAATAAGCTACAGCGCAGCAGACGTAGTGACACTGTCCATACGAACAGCAACAGTGCCCACAAGATCAACAACGACGACGCTCGCTAAAAGTAGATGCAGCCTTGGTGAAGCAGTACAAGGTTGCAGAAGCGACAAGCAGGGGCGGCAGGAAGAGTGAAGTCACTGGTAGACGTAGAACGACAACAAATGCTACGGAATGTTGGCAATATGACTATTCGTTGTCGCTGCTGCTGTCCAGCACTCCAGACACAGAGTGCTACTGCAAAGCCACACAGAAACGACACGAGCTTAAGCAAAGTAGCCCACTCCGCCATGGACAGAGAGGTCGTCGATAGCATCAGCAGCACCTTCTTCAGTGATTCTTTTTTGGTGTCCGCATGCAACGTCGGTCTCGCGGCACGGGAGTTAGAGGATTCTGTGCTTGGCAAGATTAGCTTGTTGCCCACTCGCCGTGTCATTGGGAAGATTGGATTCGGCGGTTCTGGCATCGGCTTGCCGTGGGCAATCGTGGCAGTATTGGTAGTAGTAGAAGTAGTCGTAGTCGCAGAAGTGGTGGTGGTGGTGGTGGTGGTGGTGGTGGTGGTGGTGGTGGTGGTGGTGGTGGTGGTGGTGCTAGTGGTGGTGATGGTCGTGGTGGTGGTGTTGCTGGTGAGGGTGGTGCTGGTGGTCGTGGTCATGGACGTGGCAGTGGTAGTGGCAGTGGTAGTGGTGGTAGTAGTAGCAGAAGTAGCAGTAGTCGTAGTAGTAGTACCAGCAGCAGCAGCAGCAGCAGCAGCAGCAGCAGCAGGAGTAGTAGTAGTAGTAGTAGTAGTAGTAGTAGTAGTAGTAGTAGTAGTAGTAGTAGTAGTAGTAGTAGTAGTAGTAGTAGTAGTAGTAGTAGTAGTAGTAGTAGTAGTACTAGTAGTAGTACTAGTAGTAGTAGTAGTAGTAGTAGTAGTAGTAGTAGTAGTAGTAGTAGTAGTAGTAGTAGTAGTAGTAGCAGCAGCAGCAGGAGTAGTAGTAGTAGTAGTAGTAGTAGCAGTAGCAGTAGCAGTAGCAGTGACAGTAACAGTGCCGGTGGTAGTAGTAGTGCGAGCTGTAACAGTTGACAACAACACTTTTAGCTGTTTGATTGTTGCTCCCCATATTCCTTACAATGATTGCTGCGAAGCTTGCCCATGAAATTCGTAGGACCCCGTGATCACTGCATCCTTCTTGACCACTCCAAGTCAACAGCTGAGGCTGCGGCCATCATAAGTCTGTTGAAGACTTGCGCCATGGTTGGTGACGGTTCAGTGGTATCAAGGATAGTATAGAACGTGGACCGGCAAGCTTGAGCCAAGGCCATTTAGGATCAGTGCGTCTGGGATCATTATAAACTCCAGTGTAGGCATTCGAATGATGAGGCCGCGGTGAGGCCCCTACTTGTATCTAGTACCTAGAAAGCAGCAAGCCTGAGGAGGCTAGGCTGTGACTCTGGAGCTCGTTGTCTCTACTCTCTAACCTTGGATGGTTCAACGCTAAGGATTTTACCGCTTGCCAGGGAATAGCAGCGAATAGCAGCCAAGACTCTAAAGACCAAAGACCCCAAACACCACACCTAATGGTCCAAGTAGTCCTTATTTATGGCTTTTGGTACCTCATGCCATAAAGTCCCTTAATATGGAGTACTGGGACCTCTGCACCTCCCCAAACGTAACCTTAAACTCTAAACACCAACGCCTCATGAAAATCACTGAAACAACAACACGGACCTGCGGGGCTCTCGTTCCACCAGGACACAGCGCACCCCGGGGCAGCACCTGGTGCAGCTATGGCATTTAGGGTTTAGGGTGTGGGGTTTAGGGTGTTCAGCTTTCTTCTTTGTAGGAGGTGGGATTTGGAGCTGAACCCCAGAAACTAAACCTCCACTAGAACCAAACCGTATAAACGGTGTGAAGACTTACAGCCCCGACAAGGTTCTGGAGTATCCGGGCTGGTTGGGTGAAAGTAGCCTTAGGAGAAAGGGGTTTGGGGGTTTTGGGGCTTTGGGCCTAAACCCTAAACCCGACTGGAGGGTTTCTTGGTGCAGGGTAACTTCTAGCATTAAGCACGTACCCTAACCACATAAACCGGACCTTTTCAGGGTTCTTGGGATTCAGGTACAGCGAACGAAATTATTGAGTAATGCTTTCGGAATGTGTCGGGAATCCAGGCATCAGGATACCAGGTGTGACAGTGACAGAAGTTTTGGTGCACGGAAAGATGTTGAATGATAAAGCTTGCTAAACTGATCTAGATGGCGCGACGACCACCTCGACTGCACGCAAATTAACTGCTCTTAAAAGGGTTACAGTCAGTATTGCTAAACGTTTTGATGACGCTTGATTTCAGTACTCTAATCACTAATCCTTGCTAACGACAAGCTGCTCAAGCGCGGCAGCTGCCAAACCGCCTTTGCCCGAGCCGTACTCCACAAGGACCACCTTGCGATGTGCTGGGCATAGTTCGCGCACCAGAGAAATCAAAACGACACTCCAAATCGGATATTGTAGACCCCTCTTTAGAGGCTTGGTGGGCTTGCCCCTGAACCCCGAACCCTCGCCCTAAACCCTAAAAACTCCAAACCCTAACCCCCTCGGCATGGGGCTTAGCATCACGGCGATTTCTTAAATTTCGGCGTACAATCACGCGGCCAAACGTGCCGTGGGGTCTGCGAGATCCGCCATCCTCAGGTCAAAGGAAAGGATTTGCTCTGACACATTTACGTGGCGCTGCCACTACTTTCAAGCATGTGTATTGAGGCTTGCATAAAACGTGGACGTAGCCTAGCGATGCTTTGCGCACATCTTGTACAGCGCATTTATGCCAAAGGGGAACCTTGCTTTAGCGTTCGATGGTCTCTTGAACATCAAGGCTTTGATCTTTTGTCTTGCGAACCTACTACTTGCATTTCATCGTGAGGTCGCTCGGTTTCCGAAACTCCTAAACCCTGCACACTGAATGGGAAAGGAGGCGGGTCATGCCGGGATCTGGACAAAACCGGGCTCACTCGAAGTTCCACCCCGCACGTAACAAAGCATTTCCGGGACTGTGTCTGTGATGACCGGCAAGTTAGACCAAAATCCTTACAAATCAAGAAAAAATCAAGAAAAATAAAACCAACAAGCCCACATAAGGCGCAATGCACTGTAATCGAAGGAAGCCCTATAAAACCACAACATCAAGGCCACAATTCCCTCGTCCGGCCTCCTCGCGTGCCGTGGCCTTGCTCAGAAGCCCTGCCTAGACCAAGAGACAAGACGGTGTAGTATCAGGGGTTTCATTTGCCATCACCATGAAGATACCATACTACTGTAGTGCTAGTTCTCAGTTCAATGGGCTTACAGTTTCAAAGTTTAGCACTGAGAGCATTCGGGTAACTTGGATCTGGCGCTAGTCTTGGACTTTAGGCTGGAACCGCAAACCCTCAAATCTCTTAACCCCCAGGCCCTAAACCCTGAAAGCAACTCTAGCATTCAGAGCCCCACCTAAAACTCTATGGAACGCTTAAAGATCCCTTATAGGAGCCCTGCACAAAGGAACCGTAAACCGTCCTAAACCCCCAATGAAACCCAAATTCTAAACCCTGAACCCAAACCCCAAACCCTGAACCCTAAACCCAAACTCTAAACTCAAACCCCAGACCCTGAGCCCTAACCCTAAACAGGTGCTAGGGATCGGCCTGCACCATGAGCTCCGCCAAGGCTTGGTTCTGGACCTCGTGCTTTTCCTGGGCTCTGAAGGTCTTTTTGATTTTTTGGGGGTTCAATATTGTAAGGGTTTAGGTTCAGGTTTTAGCTTTTAGGTTTTAGGGTTGGGAGCGGGGAGGGTTCCCTTAAAGGAACCCGTAGGGTTCCTTCAATGGGTCCATTCATGGCCAGGAGTTCCTTCAAGGGTCTTTGGCCTTTGGAGTCGGGTTGCAAGTGCTTGGATGGGTAGCTGCCGGACCCCATACTTGGTGATGAGTATGTAACAGTGCTCATCCATGAGACCATGAAGGACATCTACATACATCCGAAAGTGCCACGAAAATCACTATAACATTGCTCTGATGATCCTGCCGTCAATCAGAATAAGTAGCAATATTCCCTCGCGGCTCTTCTTGCTGTAACAGCAGAATAGACCCCAAACCTCATTTTCTATTTTCGAGCATGAAGGCACAGCTGCAGCCCCTTAATACAGGGGCCTCACAATTGGAATAGGGTTTTGGGGTAAATTATATTAGGATCATAAGATCATAATAAGGAACCACCAAAAATTATAAAGGCCACTATAATAGGGAATGTGCCAAGGACGGCAGGGTCCATTAATTTAACCACGGCGCTGCATGCGCTAAGCCGGCTCCGTCCGTGACGACAGATCGTGCCAAAAGCTCCTCTCGGTGCGGCATGAACTGCTTAACGAGTATATAGTATCTCTGCACACCCCACACCCTGTGGACTAAAATCCGCGCAGCTTTGCCCATTCCGAATTCGCAAACCTTGCACAGCGAAACCCTGACTTCCAAAACCCCAAGTTCTAAAATCAAAACCCTTAGCCCCAAATTCTAAAACCAATCCGCATGAGCAATGCTACCGTGCCACACCCAGAGAGGCTGAGCCCTAAAACATTTGCGCTAGAGTCGACGTTTGGGGCTTCAGGTGTGTCATTTCGACTGGGGCTCTCATGAAGAATTTTTCCGGCTTTTCGATCGGCCGACTCAGAAAGCTGCCCCACACGATAGCTGAGCCGTCTAGATCCGTCTAGTGTAGGGGCCTCGATAACTAAAATAATTAGGGTTTTGAGGGCGGTATATTATAATTACGACATTTGGCAATAAGTAGAGTTGGTAGCTATTTGGGGCCCTATCGAGATTATGAGGGCTTAGGGTGTCCTCTGGCGAGAAGCTTGGGCCAAGAACTTCCCGCACTGCCTGCCACCGGCAAGGGTGGGATCAGACGTTACGGTGAAGCGATTATAGATGTCGGTTGGGTTTGTAGGGTTCAGGCTTGGAGAGTAGGCTTAAGAAATACCTATGCTAGAGTTGCGGTCAGCAAATTCTTACCTGTCTGTGTTGACTGACTGATGTCACAAGGCCTATCCTGCGGCTAGTAGCACTACTGATCATGCTTCAAACCCCGAATCCTTAAAGCCCCAAGCCAGGAAGCCTTGCATACGTGCTGGGCCCCAGCCTCTTCAAAACACACCGCATGCGTCATCGAATGCCGCACTCCCGAAACCCTATTAAAACCACAGTCCTATATCCCTGTGTATCCAAAGCCTTGCACCTTTTTAAAAAGACGTTAGTCGAAACCTACACCCGAAGCCTGTATCCCTAAAGCGCTATGCTTAAACGAACGACCCTCCCTCTCCCCAAATTCCCCAACCTTGTACTTCTAAGTAAACCCTAGTCAGAAAGCCCGTGCGCCTCAAACCCTCAACACCATGGCTTCCTTCAAAGATTAAACCCTAAACCTCAGCCCGCAACCCTCTTATGGTTTCCTTGAACCCTAAACCCTACAACCCCTAAATCCTAAACATCCCTGAATCCTAACCCTAAAGCCCAAAGCCCCATGGTTTTCATACAACGCCCCTCCCACCCTAACCACTTGAAGGGTCATGGGACTTAGTAGCTGGGGTAAGTAATAACTAAGGTAACTGTAGTTAAATGTGGAACTTCTTGCCCTATACTTACCAAGTCCCATGCCCCACTACCCAAGGCCTTCGGCCACGCAGCCTCAATCCGGGCCCTCCAGGCCAAAGCCACCCCTGGGCTTCGAAAGGTCCGGCGTTTAACTTATATAGTGCAATTGAAAGTTTCGGGGTTTAGGGTGTGGGTTTTTCGGGTGGTTTTGGGGGGATTGGGGGTTTTTATGTTGTGGGTTTTGGCGGGCTTTGGGGTTTGGGGCCTACGGGAGAACGACCAAAACAGAAAGCGCATGTTGCCCTTGTCCTTCTTCTTGTTCTAGGTTGAAGCCTTTTCGGGCTTCGCACCTTGGGGATTTACGGGTTCTAGGCTCCTTGTGTCATTTCGTGGAAAGACCTATATACCCTTGGTTAGTAGGGAATGGAGGAATGGGGAATAATTATAACTACTATTGCTACCATTCTTCCATTCCCTACTAACCAAAGGTAAGAAGATCCAGGAGGAGGTTGAGGTTGGGCGGAGACCCCAAGGGCCCAAGTCCCTAATTGATCATATACTCTCCAAAATCCTAACCTGCATAGCTACGGCTGACGATATAAATCCTGCATTACCTTAAGGACCCTAAACCATGGGAATTATGGCATACTTCTTCTTATGGGTAATGCAGGATTTATATCATCAACCGTACTATCCTAAAACAGAGTACCTAATCATTGGGTCCTTTGGTTCCGTTGGGCCCTCGGGGAGAAGTCTATGAACTGTTGTTGGGCGGAACCCTAAACCCTAGTTACAATCCCTAACCCCTGTAGCCCCTAAACCCTAAACCCTGGGTGGTCACTGCTACCTACTCTCCCACAGGGTCCGAGCACCGAAATAGTGAAGTTTTAGGTCCCTACTCCGAATGGTTTTTGGACCTTGAACCCCTACTATTTGGGAATTTGGACCCCTGAGGGTCTGCTACTTAGTCTGGGATACAGGGTCTCGGACTTATCACTCGGAGCTGTTCTACAGAGTGGACCCCAGACCCTAAATCCGAAACCCTACACCCTGGAGGTCCCCTAAAGTAGTTTGAAAACCCCACGCCACAACACATTCCCTTGCCATGTGTCCCTCGGGAGCTGTGCTGACCGGCTCCATCGTGCTGGACGTGGAAGGCGTTGGCGGGGACTGCCTCAGCGTTTCGCAACCCCCTGTAAACACCGTGTAGGGTTTTAATATGTTTTAATTTTACACCATGGGTCCGGATCACTTTGATTTTCTGTCGGATGTTTTCGGCGGGCCTGAAGTGCTGTAAGAAAAAACCATTTACTAGTTGAGCACTTGAACCCTCCGGGCATGCCAAAATTCCCAGAGTCCTCGTGTCGGAGTCTATGTTCAGGAATCACCTGTGATGAAAGCGTGTCATGCTGGCACCACGACTCCTGCATCTTTGGATGGAAAGCCCGTAGCCGCAGCCCTAAACCCTGAGCCCCTGGACGTTTCCCCAAACCCTAAACCCCGAAACCCCGAAACCCCCAAATCCCCAAACCCGCAAAACCCCCAAACCCTAATCCGTGCATTCCGAGACGCTTTGCCTCCAGAGCCACCGGGGCCGGCATGTTGATCCCACGTCGAAAGAAAGGTTGGCTCTCCTTGGGCATAGGGTCTAGGGTTCTGGGGCATATCTCTACGGGTCCCATGTACTCACATAGCAAATCCATTGGCCTTCGAGTAATCCCCATAGAGGTACTTTAGGGCCAAAATATGTACTACTTCGGCACATGGACCCTTAGGGCATATGGTTGAGTGCGGGGATCTTGGGTGCAGGGTTAAAAGGGGACCCTAATTTGAGAACTACCCATATTTCGGTTTTGAACTGGATTCTTGTTTCAAAATTTAGTTTAAGTTACTATAATGGGGATCTAAATTGAACAACAGGGCTGAATTATGATAACTTAAATTAGATCCAGTAACAACAATGCACTTAAGACTTGGCCTGCTGGTTGCGGCTGCCCAAAAAGGGACCCTAGTTTAGAAACCTGCCCATATGGTTGAGTGTGGGGGGTTTACGATTTCGGGACTATGGCAGGTTTACCTCGTTGTACACTTAGCTCATAGGTGCCTTTGTTGTAGGCTGTGGGGTTTGGGGTTGAGGATTCAGTCTAATGCTTCATTTGCGATGTGGGGTTTTGGAGTGTTCCTCGGCATGCAAAGATCTGGCATTGGACGTGCTGACATGTCTGTTGAAAGAGGTTGAATTGTAGTCTAGAAATCCGGGTGAACAGCAACATGTCGTTTTTTCGCACGGCTTGCAATGATCTCGCGAGCGGATGCTGCAGGCATTTGCCCGTATCGACAATCGCCCAAGAAAGAACCCGGGAAACAAAGGTTGGCTGAGGCTTCCAATGAAAACACTGAAGCCGAAGTTAGTGCTACTACTAGTACCACCACTACTACTACTACTACTACTACTACTACTACTACTACTACTACTACTACTACTACTACTACTACTACTGCTACTGCTACTGCTACTGCTACTACTACTACTACTACTACTACTACTACTACTACTACTACTACTACTACTACTACTACTACATCTACATCATACCCGGTACCAGACTGCAAGACCTTAAACGTTAAACCCGAGACCAAACCATAAGCCCTAGGAGGACTTCAAAGCTGCCAAACACCCCACAGACTTCCAGGTTCCCCAGTAGCCCCTTAATTGCAAGGGTAGCCTTTTTCCTACCACATGGTTTTACGAAGGGAGCCCTCAAAGAAAAAAGGCAAACAAATACTACTCGGGAATCTAGACCCGTTAGGATCCTACATACACTTTCTAGTCTTTCTAGCCTTTCCCAAACTCCAAATCAGCTGACGGAAGCCCGGATTTCTTGTGGTAGGCCGGGCTGATCCAATAAGTACGTACTTGGGTTTAGGACACGGCCGCAGGAAAGTACTTTGGGGGACCCTCAAGACAGGCTACTGCTCCCATGTACTGACGGCACGGGAACTGAGCTTTTAGCTGGGCTAACAGGGAACAACTCAGGGAACAATGGCCAGGGCTGCTTTCTGCGGCGTAGTGCTCACGATTTCTGACCTCTGAACCATGAACCGTTTTGACCGCTCCCTCTGTGCCAAGAGGCCACCACACTCTGATCGCGCACCTGCCATGGAAGGCTCTTGGGGCTTCTAGGTCTACGGCTAGGATGCAGGTGTAAAGTACCCCTTCCAGTTTCCAAACCGACCCAACAAAACCCACGTACAAGGTTGCGTCGTTATCCTGCATCTTGTCGCTGGTTTCGGGTTCCGCGTGACACCCGTGTCGAACCTCTATGTAACCTCAGTTGCACCAGAAAGTGGTTCCACAGGGACCCGTGCCTGATCGACCACGAACTTTCTATTCCAACCCTCAACAAGCCCTAAACTGCTAAACCCTAAACTCCCATAGTCTACAATCAAGACTCCAAGCTCAAAGCAAACCTAAAGCGCCGTCGTTCACAAGCACAACCCCCTCAACCCTAAACCCCAAACCCTGAGCACTTAAACCCAAAACCCCGAAACCCTAAACCCTTAAACCCTAAACCCCAAACCCTGAGCACTTAAACCCTAAACCCCGAAACCCTAAACCCCTAAATAACCCTAAACCCCTCAACCCTGAACCCTTAACCCCAAAACCGTGGACCGACACGAGCCAATCTCTGCCTTGGTGCAGATCTTCAGATGCTGCTTCAAACCTAGGATTTAGGTTGAGGGATTTAGGGCTTCAGGTTTGAGGTTAGGGATGGTTAGGGCTTTGGAGTTTATGGTCTTTCGGGCTGTGGGCTTAGACTTCGTTTAGGGCTTCACCGGCTTTTGGGGCGCAAGGGCCCTGAAAGCGAAGAGCCGATTCTAGACCCTGGTGCTTGAGCGGTCTGTATGTTTGGGATTATGGATTATGGACGCCACTGTTTAAGTTGCCTGAAGGAAGGAGTTGCGAGACTTCCAAGGTAGGTCTTGTGCTCTATGCAAAGTCTACCCGGGTACCTCTGCTGTGGCAGCCCTGACCCTAGACACGAAACAAACACTAATGTCGCCAAACCCAATAGCCCGAACACGAACAACAAGCAACCCAGAATTGATTACTCAAGACCAATGAAGCGTGAAGTCGCGCTACTGGCACTAAATGTGGTCGCCCCTTTCCGAGATTATATCTATATACACATATATATATATATATATATATATATGTAGATGGTCATGCAATATACATATGGATACAAACCAAATTCAAGGCAATAATCTCTAATCAACATCTTTGAAAGGCATCCACAGCGCCCCAAAATTCTCCCTCAAATCCGGAAGTGTATAAGGAAAGGAGCGTTTTTCGAACACCGTGTGGTTCGGGTCCAGCGGACACGGGATTCGCGCGCCGTTCCTGCGAGAGGATACCACTATGGGCTATTAGACCCTAAAGATCCCTATTAGGACCCTATTAAGGGTAGATTAAGGTACCCATAAGGTCTAATAGCCCATAGTGGTACCCGATCAGGGTTGCGAGAATCAGTCGCAGGGAAACTCCAGCCAGCTTTTTCGGCGGGTCGAGCAGTCGCATGGAATCTCAAGGAGTGACAAACCACAACCCTAAACCCTAAACAATTAACCCTAAACCACAAACCCTAAACCACACGTCCAAGCCAGAACTCATTCAGCTGCAGTCCTGCCCTCGTCGGCATTCTCTTGGTGTGCTCCACACATTGCCTCTGCTGAGGGTATTTACAGGGGTTACGTTTAGGGTTTACAGGGGCTTAGGGCTTAGGGTTTAGAGTTACGGTTACGGTTAGGATTGGGGGCTCAGTGTAGGGCCCTGGAAACTCCAACCTCTGAGCCCCTAAAGGACAAGGCGCACACCATGTAGATACATCGAGCCGGAAGAGAATGTAGATGGGGGTTTCCGCAAATTTGGGGTACTTTTTTGGGGGGGTCCTTATCATAAGGATCCTACTATTTCTGGTCTTATACTCGGGCCCTCTATTTTCGGAAACTCCCAACCAAATCTCAAGCACCTGTAGGAAAGAGCATGGGCCTGCCATTTCATTCATCAGGCAGGATGACCTGATCAAGGTGATCTCACCTGAAGGAACAAGACAAACAAAGCAATCCCCAACACTAAGCCCCCATCCAAATTCCAAAATCTTTGGTGCTATAGCAGAAAAATGCCAAGATGCGACTGAACCTTCATGGATTAGCTACAACTGCAACTGAACTACTTATCTTCCGAATTATCGCCCTCAGAGCAAAACCTCTACATGTCCCTGGATGTTCCACTACTGCTGAAGAAGACGAGCGGCGCTTCCCGGAAGAACAGGAAAGCGGCAACGCCGGCCCTTGTTGGGCACGACATAAGCACCTCAGAGCAGAACAGTGTCCTCTCTTCTTGAATTCGTCTTGAAGGTTGAAAACCATGGCCCCTGCCCATGCACTAGAATGTGTCCTGAAAAACACCGATGGCCTACTCTGTCCTGGATGCGAAGATGACCCCCCTCCCCCCAAAAAAATAAACAAGGCCCCAAACACTCAAGCTCCAACAAAAGTCTTGCCCTGAACTCCCAGGACCTAGACACCAAGATCCAAAGACTAAACCCGGAATGCCATTCCAAAATCATAAATGATACATCTGACATCTGAGCGACGCCCAAATTCAAATTTCTACATCCGAAACCTGGACCCTAAATCTACCTGTACACTGAATAACCTACCTTTTTAAGGCCATGTAGAAGGATTAAATCCTTGTATACACGTCCACTAAAAGGCGGTAAATCTAAACCCTGTAGTCCAAGCCCGGGAGCAACGGGTAATCTCTGCGGGTGGTGGTGGCAGCACAGCAGCTGTTGCCATGCCCTGTCCAGCTCGGTAAGAACCCCTAAAAACCTTGACAGCAGAACTTAAACCTGACGGTTTAGGGGTTTAGGGCTTCATGAACCTGAAACCCTATAAACTCTATAACACCAAACACTCCTAAACCCTAAATTCTAGAGGGATTTTAGCTTGCCGGCGAAGAGTGTGGGGGGCCTTAAGGGTTCAAAGCCGAGCGCGGTGGTTCTTACCTAAACCCCCCAAAAGTAAGTAAAATAATGGCCCAATACCTATAAAAGGCTATTATTCTACATACTTTGGGGGTCCAGGTACTTCTGAATCCGTATGTTGTCATCAATATAGGGTGACGCGACTTTCATTAAGCTTCTGGTTGAGACATTGCAAGATTAATAGTGACAGGGCCCTGCAAGGGTTCTATTCTATGGCTTTTGAGAAAGGCACACTGTCATAATTAACTACACTTAACTTGGGACCTTAGCACTATTTTAAATTTAGCTGTTTCTCGAGGAATATCATAACCCAAAATTAAGCAGTATTTCTAAGTACTCCTAAGATAAGCAGCCCAGCAGCCGAAGAAGCATACATTCTCTCGCAGCAAGTTCAAGGCCCAACAAGTGTAACCATAAATATGAAGGACCAGCTGTCTAATACCCTGAACCCTGAATCCTAATACTGCGGCTCGCCATGCTCTCGGGCATGCTGCCTCTGTTCAGTAGTTTACATAATTGTTTTGTACCCTTTTCCCAAGGACACTCCGCTCGAGCGTTTTAGACGCCACACACACACATACCCTATACCAGCCCTGCAGTACAATGAAATCGGACTACAGAGCGTTTCTTGGATGTCCGCGCCACATGTCCCGCAAGCTGCCACTCTTGGGAAGCTCCGACACGGCGGCAGCAGTGGTTTCTCACTCAAGTCTGGGCTGTAACAGCTCGTGTAGAAGTCTCAAAAAATGGTTATCTTATGCCTTGCTGGTATTCCTTATTCTAAACATACTTGACCTAAACCCCCAATCTTACTCAACATGCTCGAACTACTGGGGCCCCTATATTAGACGCCTCGTGGGTCAAGTGTTGCCTCGAGCAGCTTGCGAAGAGAGTTTGCGTTTAGGAGTTTGGGGTATGGCGTCAGGGTCTGTTTGCCAAAGCACTCTTTTAAAGACCTGAGCCTAGTATGTCGATTCACTCTCTAAGACAAGATTCCATGGTCCTTTCATGGACGTTGCGACGGGCTTGGCTTCGGGGCTTTAGGGTTGATAGTGCTGATATTTCGTTTAACTTGTAAGCTACGCACTGAAGCCTTCGATTCGAGGCTAATGTTCTGCAATTGAGGGTGCCACAGCTAGATGATCACGGGCTTGCTGCAAAAAGCATCTCGAGCATGGGCCACTACAAACCCCCGAAGGGTCCTAGGTGCTGTTATGGGGATACTTCCCCAAATCATGATAGTAATTCCTAATGTAGAAACCCTACATTCTACCATATAGCTACTTAGGACCCTTTGGGACCATGCCTTTAGTCTCCATTGTAATTATTTTTACATAGGTGTTCCTCGAAGTAAAACTGGCTAGCCAGAAACAGAGCTACAATGGAGACCATTATAGGTAATTCCTACAACCAAAGTTTATCGAGCTCGACTTCCGATCAGAGCTAGCGGCTTCAAGCTCAGGCTGTAGGGTGACCCTGAGGGTACAAAGGACAGTTTAAGCCGATTTAGGCCACTAGCACGGTAGGGTCGTACTTTGGGGGACTAGGTACTCGCTCGGACCCTTAGAAGGATGACGGCTTGCAGTAGAAGGGCGTAATTAAAGGTCCTCGTCGGACAAAGCCCCCGCCGTGTCGGAGATCTCCCGGTGCATTTGGCAGGCTCAAAGCATGCGCCGAAAGGAAAACGAAAAGAGATGCACATGCTAAGGGTTGCTTTTGGGCGGTTTAGGGTCTTAGAGTTTACCTCATAACCTACCAAAACCTACGTATTTGTAGGTTCTTACTGAGTCTTACTGTTAACCCTAAGAGGGACCTTACCAGAAAGAAAGTTTATGGTGCGCTAAGGTAGGACTAAGGGTTCAAGGCTTACTGTGTGCCCTTCGGCTGATGGCATCAAAGGTCCCGAAACCATAGGCAGGACGCGGCGGATCCCTGAAGCCGAATTGGGCTTACGTCACCCCAATGCAGAAGCGCTGCTGTAGATCGACAGCATACAAGCACGATAATGGGGCCCGCAATCCAGTTCTACCCTAGGAAGATACTCTCCGAACTATCTACAAACCCGAGGTCCTAGGTGCTCAGACAAGAGCTTCTTACTTCTGATACCTCGGCCCTCTCTCGTTTCCATTTTCGGAACAATGGCGGCGTATGTACACCTCGGACCCTAAAGCATCGGGCTTCGAGTTTCTGACAGATTCTGAAACAGTGTAGGGTTTAGGGAGGATTGGGTTAAGGTTAAGGGCCCCATGTCGGCAATGCCAAACCCGAAGCCCAACGATCAACGATGCCAAACCCTGAACTTCATGCCTACACCTGAAGACTCGGCAATTATCGACCCGAAGGGGGATGCATGGGCAAACGCCTGGACGGGTGGGCACCGCATGGAAGTATAAGTACATATAGCTGGTCCCAGCAGCTACGGAGACATATCCCAGATGGTTTGCAAAACAAGGCGTATATGTATGGATGCCCGTACTTGTGACTCTGCGTGTACATGCTACAGTCTACGTGCGTTTGGGTGTTCTGGCATATCCACTTGTGCCCAGCACAATTTTGCATGCATGCATGCATGCATGAGGGAAGGACACGGACGGATGCGTACAGGCATGTGTGCCAGCATGTCATGCACACATCTGCTGGCTTGCAACGCGAACTCACAGCATCAATTCCAATGATTACCGTTGCTAAAACTAAGAAGTGGCGGTGCAATGAAGCAATGAAGCCTTGTGCACGCGTCCACATGTTCAGAACCCTGACGGAACCTCCAAACCCAAACCCCACAGCCCTCATCTACTCGGTTGACGGCGGCACTCTGACCTGGGGAACGATTTGCTGAAGGGATTTCCGGCAAAGGGAGCTTGGGGATTTCAGTTTTGCGAAAAATTAAAGACCGTGGGTTACTTTTTGGACCAGGTTTACCTTAACCCCACGTAACCTACCTTTTTGAGGACTTATATAAAGAAATCATATTAGGGAACCCTAAAAAGGTAGGTTCCTTAGGGTCCAGGTAGAACTCAAGGGGTCAATGCAGAATTGTTGACATGGAAACACCCCGGGCTCTGAGAGATGCATCGACCTAGCGACTTCTACTCCTACTCCTACTGAGACAAATATGGGGGTTTCCGAAAATAGGGGATACCTTATTATGGGGCCCTTAGAATAAGGATCCTACTATTTGGGGTGCTATATTAGGGTCCCCTATTTTCGGAAACTCCCATATTACCGCTGGAGCGAGCGGACTCTGGCGGCCATGGACCAGACAAGGATTCATCCTGCGCTCAATCGCATGGAGAAGACTTGCCAGACCCTTTTGGAGAGCCTGAAAGATAGGATCCTACATTCAAACTCAAACACTCCTTGTCCTTTTCGGAAAACCCTTACAAAACCCTTTTAACTTTCAAGCCTTTCTTTTTGGGATGCTCCATGGAATCCATGGAATCCTTCCACAAAGCCGCGTGGAACCCTTTCCTTGAAACCCTTGCCATATCCGGCGAACCCGTTGTGAAACCCGAAAAGCCTCGTAGAATCCTTCAAAAGCCCAACAAGCGTATAAACCCAGAAGAACCGCTCTTGCTCCAAACCCTAAAACTGATTAAACTGCAAAGCCGTTCCATCGGAGCCTAAGCATTGTGTTCGGGTCTTGGGATATTTTATGACATGAATATCGTACTCAGGAGCCTAAAAGAATAATACGGAAATCATGCCGATCTAGGAGCACCCCGTATAGGGCTGCCTCCTCTTCGGCCCTTTCCTCCAGTTCAAGCAGTTCTTCCTCCGCCTCCGGCTGCTGGGCTCTTCTGGGGAGTTGGGGTGGTCGGGTTGGGAAAGGGTGTTTCAAGGGGTTAAGGGTGCCTGTACAGGGTTGTTTGCAGGCTTCTATAAAGGTTCCTGGAGGTAAGCCTTTGGGCTAAGGGCTGTGGGCTGAGGAATTTGCTTGACGCTTCGAGGCGTTTTGTGGTCAACATCTTGTGGCCCAAGCTTCAAGATGATTCTGGATTGGGTTTGGAATCAGCGGTTTGTGGTCTAGGTCCAGGTTTTAGGCATTGGGATGCGGCTTCGACCCCAAAAGCTTACCTATATCCGCAACACTATACTATGCATCCACACCCTAAGCCCTTGTATAGGGGCCTTAATAATTAGAACAGGGTTTCGGGGCCCATTGTAATGTATTTATAATAAGGAGCCCCCCAGAGTAGTATAGGTAATTATTCATGCCCCTATAGTAAACTCGAAACCGAGTCTCACCCTTCCAGGGATCTACGCTCACTTCGGAGGCACTCCCAGCCCATGCAGAGATCTTGGGCTTTAGGGCTTACTGCCTGGGGCTATAGGGGATACAGGAGCAGCGAGAAAGTTGGAACATGAGTATCCTCATGCCCCTTAGGCCAAGTGTACGAAATCTCTGCACGAATCGTCCTCATCTTATGTTCCAGCTTTCTGGGGTTCGCTGTACCTAGACCCGATGAACAGATCTAGAGGGTCTACAGGGTTCGGGGTTCAGGGCTTAGATCAGCCTGAACACTACACTACGAGGCCAACAGAACGTTGCATTCTTTAGGGCCTTTTCGGTTTAGTTTTTGTTTTTAAATGTGTAGTGGAGAAAGTGTTTAGGGTTTGGGGCTTAGGGTTGTAGGCTTGGGATTGAGGATGGACCTTTGCGAGGCTTGTAGCGCCATGGTTTTCTGACTACAGTACCACCACTTTCTACCTTCTCCTACCACTGCGACTAAGGCTGAAACCCCCTCCTGCCCCCCCCCCCCCCCGAGATCCCTCAGGCTCAAGCCTAAACCCTTCAACCCTAAACTCTCTAAAATTCCTTCAACCCCAAACCCTTCAAGCCTACATCCTTCAAGCCCAAGCCATATAAGCCGCCGAAAGCCACCTAGACCTAAGAGTAACCTAGGAATAACAAGGTGGGTTACAGGGGCTTATAAGGGAACCTGAACCCTAAAAAAGGGAATAAGGGCCTACTCTGGGTCCTAGCCACAAAGCCCGGCAGCCCGAACCTCCTGGAGACTCCGCCGCACTTTGGGCTTTCGCTTCAAGAACTGCGCGTGGTTGTCCAGATCCAGCTCCTTGGGCCTTCCCCACCTTCAAAACGGATGAGTTCTTGTTCAAGGGATTCTACGGTTTAGGGTTTATAGGGTATAGGGTTTAGGGTTTAGGGTTTAGGGGTTCCCGGGAGGAACTAACATCAGCTTGTGGGGTGCTTAAATACTCTGGGACTTCATCGGGAACTGTAGGCTACAGGTTGATTGTTTTTGTTGCTGAGCTTTTGCAGGGCTTTACTTCTTGGATTGGGTCGAACTGTCGATTCTGGGAATGTCTTGGTCGTGGCAAGTGTCTGCAGGCCGTCAGAATTCTAACGGATTCCTTTCTGATCGATTGCGCTTGTGGTGTCGAAGCAGGATCAAAAGTCAAAAGCATCGAACACAAATGCATGCAGGGCCTAGATGGCTGGTGTTGGGCTCAAGCTTAGGATTTGGCCTTTGATCACCGTGAGTACTTATCTAGACTTCTCTACGGTGTGTCGTCCAAACCATGAAAACAAACAAGGCCCAACCGTAAACCCCAACGCTCTAACCATCAACTCCTGCGCGCGCCGTTCTCAGCTCCCATGAAGGACACTCCGAAAACAACTCAAAAACCGAATGGTTCAGCTTCGCCACCTGGGATCCAAGACAAAGCTAGCGTGGAACTTAGCAAAACGATTGTGAATTCCTGTGATTCATCGTACTATTATAGTCCACTATACTAGAAAACCGCAGAGTATAGGAAAATTCTGTTGTATTCGATTATCTCTAATAAGATCCCAAGGCCACTAAGCCTCAGTTGACCAGGTTCCCGGGGCCTTGCGAAGGAAGTTACCATGTAAGCCACCATCAAAAGGGAATAGGTTGAATAGGGTTTAGCAGTCAGGGCTCAGGGTTTAGAGAGCAAAGGAATCAGGGTTTTAGTTATGCTTACAGGGGTAGTCCGTGATTGCCTTCGTGGGATAACATGCAACTCCTCCAAAAGAACCCAATCTTCCTGGGCAGCCGGCTCAGGATCTGCGGGTACGGAGTTCCGGTGCGACAGCGTGACTGGCAAGAAATTGTCGGGAGTGTAGACCTCAGGCACCCACCGCACGCCGTGTCTCATCTCAGCCCACAACCCAAGGGGTCGAAGATGGTCCAAAAAGGTATATGTGCCTTGAAAGTACCATGTTGGCATCCTACCCTCAACCCTGAACCCTAAATCCTGAACCCTAAACCCTAAATCCCCTGAACCCTATTTCCTGAACCCTAAACCCTAAACTCCTGAACCGCTCTTTACGGGGAGACTCTGAAGCCTCGACAGGTACTACGAAGTACTACAACGAGTATGATACTCCCGGAAGCTCGGGGCCCTAACTTCGAAGACCGGAAGCCTCAACGTCCCAAAACCCTGTAGCCTGACCCTAGATTGAAGAGACCCTGAACCTAGTACAAAAGCCTGGATAATTGTATAAGGTCTTTGGGATACATGCTACTATAACCACACTGGCACTGTAACGTTGGCAGCGACCTCTAGCGGAAACCTGAATTCGTAGCCCGTCCGGGCATCCGGCCCCCTCCTGGAACGGATCCCGAACTGCCAGTGGCAAGTACTCCTCAGTCAACAAAGTAGGGTTTTCGGAATTACGGTCTTACGGGCTAGCAGTGCTTGTTGAACTGGGATTGCTTTGATAGGGCTCAAGGCTTAGAAGCTTGAGAGGTATAGGGCGCGTAGGGCTTATAGCATTAGCATGTTGGCGTGAAGGTGTAGCACTCAAGGTAATGTACAAGTTTCGGTGTGAAGATGATTTTCGGCATGGGGTTGGTAATGTACAAGCTTCGGTGTGAAGATGATTTTCGGCATGGGGTTGCAAACGGTTTGCACTCTCCTTTTAGTTTCCATTGTAGTTCCCTTTTCTGATTACATTTTAGTAGGCTCCTAAATACATAATTGGTTACACCCAAAACGGAACGACGATGGAGACTCTAGGTGGAGCGAGAAGGTCAGAGGGCAATTGAAGCCTCCTGCTTCTAGACCCTCAGCTACTCACTACGGTTGATGATGCAAATCTTGCATTACCCATAATAAGGAATATACCATGTCTTAGGGTCATAAGGTATTGCAGGAATTATATCATCAACCGTATTGCAGTCCGAATACCCTCTAGTGAGGGTCGAGGGTTAAGGGCCACTGCAGCCCGAATACCGTCTACGGTGTCAAGGGACATAAACATACAGGGTACCTGGTACCTCGGAAGGTCCTGGAAATGGTTCGGGTTTCGGATTCAGTTGGCAGAACCAAGAACCCCCTTGGAAAAAGCACCTAGTCATCATGCAATATCTAAGGCCAGGAAGCCTTCTCGGCTATGGCGGCTATGGCTCAGATTTTCATACACAAGTGAGAGATGGCAGCCTCCAGAACTAGTGGAAGCCCATGGGCCTGCAAACCAGAAAGCCCGAAAGAAGCAGAGCATACTGAGTCCCAGTCAGCAACCCTCGTCCAGGGCACCGTCGAAAATGGCATCCGGTGCCGCGTGTTTGCCTCACATGTGTCATGCATGCCGTCGAACTTGGCTCATACTATCCTGCCTTTCCTAGACGCAGGTGACACAAGAGTAACCTAGGAATAACAAGGGTGCCCTTTTTGGGTTACAGGGGCTTATAAGGGAACCTGAACCCTAAAAAGGGAATAAGGGCCTACTCTAGGTCCTAGTTTCTTGGTGGCTGACAAGAGGACATGGGATGGTCCGAGACTGCAGGGGTTAGGGGCCCCATCTCGTGCGCCGCCACCTGGCCCGTTACCTTGCCAGGGTTCCTACGTCAGACCCCGTCTCGAGAAATGTGTACTTGTAAGTACAAGTATAAGTACCTTAATTGTGACTATATAGTAATTGTAAGTTAGTTACCTTATTTATAACCCTAAGTATAAGTACCTTAATTGTGACTATATAGTAGTTGTAAGTTTAGTTACCTTATTTATAACCCTTACTACGTCTCATGAACCTTTGAGTAGTGCTGACGGGGCCGGGCAGATGCTCTCCGGAGATTCAAGTGGTGGGGCCGTGCTCACGATGAATACTTCACTTTCCTCCCGAAGCCAAGATGCCTGCTGGTGGCAGTTGGTGCGGTGTCTACTTCAACCTGTTTTCCTAAAACAGCGGCCAGAACTGAAAGACTGCGGAGCCTGTTGAACTCGCTCAACACCCCGACCAACAAGCATGAACTCCCAGCGCAGCAATGTTAGATCGAAGCAGAGGCATCTACACTAATCGGAACCTCCAGACATCTCTGGACTTCAGACTTTACCCGAACCCTAAACCCTACACCCGAGACCTTTGCGGGCTTGCACAACCTGCAGCGTCCCCGCATTGGGGGCCCGACCGGATAGTAGGCACCGTTTCCGGTCAGGCCAAGCCATATGGCGCTGATACCTAGCGCTGTGGGTTTATCAACTTCACAGAGTATGATTCTGTACATTGTGGGAGTCCTTACATATGTGTAGTGGATGTCAGATCTATTCGTCTGTGCTCTATCGTTCGATCTCGCACTGAAGATTTGGGATTTGGGCCTGTGGGTTTATTAAGAGGGGAGAAGTTGAAGGAATTAGGCTTGACGTCTTGCTTCTGCTTATCTCGTTTTAAAGTGCTCGATTGCAACTTCAATCAGGATCCTAGTAGGGTTAGAGCTTTGAGCAAAAGGTGCTCGGGTACGAGCCTCTATACAAACTCCAAATGCATGGCTTGGTACTTCAGCTGGCCCTGCACATCAAGCCGCTAAGCCCTCCACCCAAAACAAGCACTCTTCCGTTGGATTTGCTAACCAGCGCTAAACTACCTAAACCCCTAAACTCTAAACCTAAGTTGAAGCGAGCTTGCATACACTGTGGCTTAAACACTTCTTCAGGGTTGGGACGTGGGTTCTCGGGACAAATGCAGGATAAGGGCTACCTAGATTCTGAACCCATCTCCCGTGCAGCGCTACTGGTAGTCAAAACTACTGGGCACCCTCTCATCAGCCTTCGGAGCCTAGTATAGAAAGCGTAGTCATTAAACTGGTGTTGCGGGGTACATAATTGTAAAGAACCGCTGGTTTGGCGGACCGTGCTGGATCTGCTGTGGCTTTCGGACCTCCACCGTTTAGTGAGAGCCTCCGTAGACTAAAACATCCGTATACACAGCCTCCACACATTCCCTTACATGTTGTCGTGAATACCCACCCCTGCAACCAAGTAACGTGCCGTGAGCCCGAGCCGCAAAACCCAAAACCCTAAAACCAAAACGGCAAACCACAACCCTAAACCCCAAAACGACAAATCAGGCTCAACTTCGTGAGCCCTGCAGCTCAACCCACCTGCGTCTTGCGCTTCGTTCATGGCGTAATCGAAGCAAAGGTCTTCCGAGAGGACCACCACAAGCCTTCAGGGGTCGTCATGGGGGTATGGGAGTTCGGTTTCGGGTTTTGAGATTTAGGGTGCAGCATGATCTGGTCTAAGGTTTCCAATTTAACACATCCCACCCGTCCCGCACACTTGCAATTTCAAGGATCCCTGAAACTTAGGATTTAGGGCTTAAAATCTCCATTCACAACCCAAGTGATCCAAAGTGCTGGCCCAACATCTCTAATCTCGAAACAGACTTGGTGTTATAGCTACACCCCCGATCATTCGAGTGTCGAATCAGTGCCGGGTGGACTCCAGCTATGTTGCGAAGGGTGGAGTGGCTGTACATTAACGGAGTGTTTGATTGACATCTCTGACTCTCCGAATATGTCTATCCGTTTAGGGGGCTTCGTCGAAAGACAAGTCTCTGGAACTTTCACAGAATTGGCCTAAACCTTCATCCCTAACCCTAAACTCCAAACCCTAGACTACCGACCCTTGAAAACACAACCTGGCACGGTCCTCGGCGGCCGGTCACGCTTCGGACTAGTCCAGCGATCTTCTTTCTTCGCCTGCAGAAGACTTCGGTCGCGGTTGGGTGGGGCGTCCATAAGTGCACTCCCTCGACTCTGAAGTAACCGAGGCTTCAGTCAGGTCGTGCGACTGAAGGATTCTTCTTCTAACCATGTCAAAATGTCGATGCGGTAGACCGGTATCCTGGAGCCCGATAGCTTCCAATTAAACCGACACATTACGAAATACCTGGAGGAACTCTACCAGCTACTGTCATACCTTAATAAAGCCGAGTACACCAGAGAAAGTCCCTTGCCGGACAGGATATACTGATACTGGGAGTTAGGATTAGAGGGACCCTCGAAAATATAGACCCACCCAATAAGCTCCCTTTTAAGAGAGCCAGAAGTAGGGTTCGGAAGGGGTACCTTTTAAGGGGTCTCCCTGATCATGCTTCCCACATACACGACCCCGGGCCTTCGCGAGTTTGCGGAGGTCGCGCATGAGCACTTTGTTGATGGCTTCACTCTTCTTTGGCCAGACCCTGCGTCAGTCGTGTGGCTCAGCTCGGGTTACATCATCGCTGGAGAATTCGGGAGATTCTGAATAGACCTTCAACATGAACTATACCCCAAGACCCTGGGCCCTAGACCATGCTTCTACACACCTCAGCCATACTGTTGCGAAGCCTAAACCCAAAAGCCAAACCCCAAGAAGGCTGAAAACCCTGAAAACCCCATAGACTAAGACCCTACAGCACTACACTTGAGCCTGATCGTAATCATGTCCAGCAAGTTCTGATGGTAAAACCTGGCACGCCATGTTGCCCGTATGACCCGTGGATGGAGGATCGGCAGGAATCACGAATTATCTATCTATATATATATATATATATAGATCCATAGATATAGACATATATATATATATCGTATAATATATTATATTATATTATATTGTATTACATTATATATACATATGTACTGTAGGGGCCGAAGTATGTACGATATGGGCACATGGCAACTAGGGGTATGCGGCCCAAGACAAACCGGTTAAGGGCATTTAGGGTTTAGGACTTTTAGGGTTTAGGGCTTGGTGAGATAGGGTTTGGGGCCTAGCGAGATAGGGTTTAGGGCTCAGGGTTTAAGCTTGAAGGTGCGGGCTTGAGGCTTGGGAGTGCAGGGCAGTAGCTGACTGGAAGACACGCTACCTCTGCAAACTCGTCTCTTGGCGAAGTACAGCCTGAGCCCTAAACCCGTTTAGCCTCACAGAAACACAAACCCTGAATCCTAAACACACCCCTTCGGCTCTGTCCGACAACTCTGCCAGCTTGACCAGTCTAAGGCTTGCTGGCCAATGCGCACCCAGGGCTCCACGAACTTGGCAACCTGCATCTGGTCGATGAAAGAAGGCACTATATACATATATACATATATACATATATACATACGTATATACATATATATATACACACATATACAGACATATGTACATATATATATATATATATATATATATGTATGTATGCATATAGACATGTAACTACAGTATATCTATCTATCTATCTATCTATCTATATATATATATATATACATATGTGTTATATGTTTATAGGTTCTTCGGGCATATTACAAAGCCAGGAGTAGGGCCTGGGGCCTAGTGTCGTGTTTTTTTTGAGTTTAGGGCTAAGGACTTCGAGGCCACCAGCCCGCAGCCTCAGGATCCGCGCTCTTTAGTCGCACGTACTATACTGAACTTCCCTAAGGGTCCAAGTACCCACATAGCAGGGTTTCAAAGTCCAAAAGCCATTCAGAGTATGGATTTTGGGATCTAAAACCCTACTAATTGGGTACCTGGACCCTCTGAACTTAGAACCCCAGCAAGAATTATAATTTTAGCTGTTTCTTAGGGATTATAATAACCAAAAAATAAAGTTATTTCTAAGTACCCCTAAGGTACATGGGCCATGACGGGAAGCACCTTCAACTTACCTTTGGTTAGTAGGGAATGGAGGAATGGGGTATAAGTATAAGTACTGTTACTACCATTCTTCCATTCCCTACTAACCAAAGGTAAATCCGGCCCAACTACGAGGTACGTAGCATCTCGCGAACTACTTAGCCCCCAAGGGTCCTAGGTACTGTTATGGGGCGGTAACTTCCCCAAATCATCATAGCAATCCCTATGACAGACAGCCTACATTCTACCGTATAGGTACTTAGGACGCATATTAAGGAACCCTCTAGATCCCTTTATAAGGAACCCTATAGATCCCTTTAAGGAACCCTCTAGATCCCTTTATAAGGAACCCTATAGATCCCTTTAAGGAACCCCTGTCTGCGGTGCCCGGTGTAGAGCTTCGGGCTTCAGGCCAGGACTTTCTGAGGGAGGCTGGAGACTGTTTTCATATACCGAACATTCATATCCGACGGCTTCGATGTAGGAATCTCTGCATTTCTTGGATGCTCTTGGTTGCTAAGACCCCAAACCGTAAACCCTAAACCCCTAAACCCCGAAACCCCAAAACTCCTGTGGCCTAGCAAGGAGGCTTAGCAACATGGGCCTCGCCATGGTGTTCAGCAGTAGACTGAGGGGCTCCAAAACCCCTTAAGGAATACACCTTCAATCTTATTTGGGGTCCTATTACGGTTTAGGGTTTAGGGTTTAGGGGTTGTAGTTTTGGGGCTCTGAAAAGTATTTATGAATAGGTACCTCTATAGGAACCATAAGGGAAATTAAAAAGTTTCCCAAATTGCCACCTAGTCAATCTTATTTGGGGTCCTATTACTCTCCAGGGACTCTAGGGTAGAGTCTACTCCTCAACTTTTCTATGGGATTTTGGAGTCTTTGGGGACCCTAAAGCCACCTCAACGCGCTTCGCCGGCACTTTGGTGAAGCCCTCCACCCAGCGAACCACGCGCGCAAGGACCTGTCCCAGCTGCAGAGCTTAGGGTTTCAGTGGGGTTTAGGGTTTAGGGTTTAGGGTATAGGGTATAGTCTCCAATGTAGTCCCTTTATATGGGTTCGCAATTCTATGGTTAGGATCCTATCGGATCCCATGTTATCAATATTTCGCTAACCAAAACAAGCTATCAAGAAGACTAAAGGTCGGGTCGGAGACCGTGGCATGAGGCCAGGGAGTGAGGGCTTCGGCCTTCTAGGGCCCCGAGTTGTGAGTTGCAGGGCTTGTGGTTCTAATTTAAACAGCTCAGATGTAGGGCTCATATCCCGTCGTGAAGAGGTTACGACTCGTTGGATCTTTGAAAGCTTAAACTCGGATTGGCAGACGGCTGATTCGGAGCTTCTGTTGCAATCGCTTACTCGTCGACGGAGAGGAAGCATGAAGCGTGACGGCTTAGCTGAGTCATCATGCGGTTGACAAGAACAAAAGACTTGCCTAAAAGCACCCTGATGACCACCTTCCTTTAACAACCGACGTGTCAGCATCGGCACCACCTGTTTTGTTATCATGATCGTCGTCTACTTCTTCTTTATTTATTGCTTATAAACCCTTACTAGTGCACCTACTGCCACGAATTGGCTCATGGTTACTGCCCCTGTGGCTCGGACGACAATTTGAGGAAAAGCGGGCTTAGCATTTGGGTTTAGAGTTCGGGGCTTGGGTTTAGGGTGTATTCTTAAAAAGCGGTCGAGGGCTTTTAGCATTTAGGGGGGGGGGGGGGGGGGGGTTCCCAGAGACTCCAATATCCCTTAATTAAGGAATATACCTTAAATTATGGTAGGATCCCTAATATGATTTAAGGTATATTCCTTAATTAAGGGATATTGGAGTCTCTGGGTTTCGCCGGCCTCCTGCATGGGTGGCCCCGCCGGGGTCAGCCAGTGACTTTCGAAGTTCCACAAGATCGTGGCGTAGTCCTCGAGAATGAGTCTGTGCAAGAGGGTCTTAGCTACTGTTATAGGGGATACTCCCCCAAACCTTAATCGTAATTCCGAACAAAGAGACCATAAATTCTACCATATAAGTACTTAGGACCCGTTGAGGCTGTGAAGGGTTGCCAGAGGAGTCCTAGGTACTGTTACGGGGGATACTTCCCCAAATCATGACCGTACTTCCTCATATAGAAACCATACGTTCTACCATTAGGTACAATACTTAGGACCCTCTGGGGTTGCAAGATTCCGTCACGTGGCTGCTGATCTTGGCTGCAGGGCGTTTGGCTTCTGCATTGCTTAATCTTTGAGGAGGATGGCCTGATAATTCTATGTGCATCCCAAACTGAAATCGCAGACCTGAAACTCTAAACCCTCCTGCTCTACAATTACAGTAAGCACATTCCCACAGACCGCAAACAGCCACAGACAGCTGCTATTAGGGTTCAGGGCGCAAGGTTCAAGGTTCACTTTTTAGAGTCAGAGGGTTAGTGTTTCCACAAGAAATGTGCAAACCGCAGTCAGGCTCCCAGAGTTATAGAGTTTGAGCAAATTAAAACTCTAAACCCTGCCCTAAACCCTAAACCCTAAACCCTAAACCCTAAGCACTAAGCACTAAGCCCTAAACCCTACACTCCCTACACGCTAAGCCCTAAACCCTAAGCCCTAAAGCCTAAACCCGAGCCAGGCCTCCGGGTCTAATTTGCCCAGGCTTTCCAAGTCCGCGCGCACCGCAGCGGCCACCTGGCAACACCCTAAAAGGGACCCTGATTGGGGTTATGGTAGTTATAAGTCCCTAAAATAGCCAGTTACTAAGTCCCCCGACCCTCCAAGTGGCAACCCGAGGAATTCCTTAAGAAGAGCTTTGCGAAGCTTTAGGGGGGCTCTTTTTAGAATCTACTATGAGCTTCTCTACAAAGTTTGCGAGGTTTTAGGGGGATTTAGAAGGGTCTTATATGAGGTTCTATAAGGTTTAGGGTTTTCTTTTCAGTCGCACGGAATCAATAATTAGGGGGTTGAAACTCGGGTTCTATTTGGGTTGTGTAAGGGATTCGCACGGCTTCATTACGGGTTTACAGGGTCCTAAGTACCCAGTATGACGTAGGGTAGTATTTGGGTAGCGTTTATTACGGTCAGGTACTTGGACTTTTCTAGAAACCCTAGCCCTACCGATACCCACTCAAAACGTGAAAAGTCTTGAGCCCAAAAGCTTTACACCTGTCAAGGCCTAAAGTTCTAGACTCAAATTACCTCAAGCCCTAGGCCAAAAACTTCCTGCGAATCTGACTCTAGGCCCGAACAACAGGGCCACTATTACCCAGATACTCTACATGGTTTTTGGATCTTGAAACCCTACTCTTTGGATACTTGGATCCTTAGGTTAAGTTTGTTACATGCATGCCTGTTTCATAAGCATTGTGCATACAACTTCAGAGGGACCAACCCCTGTCGTGGGTCGTGGTACAAAGCCCAGGTTCCACAGTGCCCCCTTTAAAAAAAAGGTGGCAGAAGGGTACTTGTGAGACACAGCAAAAAACTGGGCTCCCTGGATATGGGAGTTCATAGGAGACCCTCATCTGGGTGGTTGTCAAAAAAGGGTCCCTTTTTGGGTCCTTAATATAATACGGTACCTAATATTTAGGATACCCAAAAAGGGACCCTAATTTTGACAACCACCCATATAGTACCCTAGATAACAGGATCCTTATTATAAGGACTTCAATGTAGCTCTGAAGCTCCACGACCTCCAGAGCCTATTCTCTCATCCTGAAACCCTTCTACTGAACCCTGCCTGGACCCTAAAGAACCCACCTTCTTACAGCTCCTCAATATGACTTCCTTATATATGAGTCCCTAAAAAGGTGGGTTATTTGGGGCCCAGGGTAAACCCCAGAGCCGACAAAAAAGATCAATTCCCAACCTTAGATAACACGCAAACAAAAGAGCCATGAGCGCCCACCAACTTCACGACACCCTTGTGAAACCAAAACGAGATCTTGGGTGCTGCCCCCATACAGTATCAGTCTATACTAGGGCTACTACTACTACTACTACTACTACTACTACTACTACTACTACTACTACTACTACTACTACTACTACTACTACTACTACTACTACTACTACTACTATAAGGGCCTTATATATCCAAATTATGCATAATATTCAACTGTTACTGAGCGGGGGCAATACCCAAACAAAATCATGAAAAAGCTATACCAGCCCATAAACAGCTGTGCAACCCCAGGAGAGGCAAACCCTAAGCCCAAACTACGATTGATGATAGAAATCCTGCACTACCTTAATGACCCGAGACTATGGGAATTATGGCATATTCCTGATTATGGGTAATGCAGGATTTATGTCATCAACCGTAGGGGGTCTGAACCCGTAGTAACTATAAAACTATATTCTTTAGAGCTCGTAGAGCGATACTATGGTGTACCTCCTTCCAAACCGCGATTCTTGTTGTCAATAAGGCCCCTATATCCTAGAACCCGTATCGTACAATTAGCAACCGTTTCAAAGAACCTGTGCTGATTTTTGTTTCTACCTAAACCCCCCAAAATAGGTAAAATACTGGCCCAATACCTATAAAAGGCTATCATTCTACATACTTGTGGGGCCCAGGTCGGGACCCTAAGTCGCATAGAGCGTGCCTCGGGCTCCTGCTGGACTAACGCCTCGAGATCTTCGTTGAAGTAGAAGGTGCCCTCCGGGGAATGAGATGATTACTGATGTAGGTCTAAATCTTATCACCTATTAATAGTTATAGGATTATGACCTAATATTATTAGTGGAAAGTGTTGGGTTGTTCAGCGTTCCCGTAAATTGAAACAGGGTTTTAATAGGGTCTTGTGTGAGAGGGTTGAAGGGTGGTCATAAAGTCTCTATCGTGTCATACAGTGTTTCCATTAGGCTTCCAACTAAAAGGTTCCTTTTAAGGCTGTTCTAAGACAGGCTTGCTTCGGGTCGTATTGAGGTTTGGAGGTTTAGGTTTAGGGTGTTGGGTTTATTTAGGCTTTTTCAGGGACATACGGCGTTATGGGAATTGATGTTTCAGGCTTGAAGACACCTTTGGCTCTAGGACTTCGCTGCTTCTGTGTCTCTGAATCCCCAACCGGATAGTCCACACGGGAATAGCCTCTGACTCTACTTCCACTATGTTTCAAACCAGAATCGAAGCTCAGGGCGTGGAGGGCCTTTTTGAAGCTTCCCTGAAACACGAAGTCGAAGAATCGGAAGGATGCTGCGCATCTTCAACGCTCCACTCCTGACTCTGTTGTACCCTTGATGCCGCTGAATCCTGCGCCCCTGATCCGAACCATAGGGGCAAAACAACTGTTAATTAAGGCCCCAGTATTAAGCAAAAGATCACAGGCCAGAACCAAACACCCAACGATGCCGTTGTGCCTTCCCCGGCTGCTTCAACAACTGGCACGCGAGGGATTGGCTGTAGCATTTGAGGGTTCGCAATTTGCGATAGGGTTGGCCCCAGAATCCGAGGTACCCAAACCTGCAATCTAGCGTATGGGCTTCTAGGTAGTGTACGGCAATGAATCAGTGGAATAGCTCCTTTAGGTATGTTTTTTGTCATACACGCTAGTGTAAACATACACAGTGACTGTAACAGGATCTCTTCTACCCTAGACCCTGAACCCTAACCCGCCAGAAGACCTTGCCTAAGAGAAAACCCATATTATATGCTAACAAGAGACACTTCGTAACAAACTAGTCGTGTACCAGAAAACTTATCTGACCCTAGAAGATCGAGAAAGGCTCTCCAAAACATGCCATACTTTGTTTATAGCAGTGCATGTGTTTGTGTATATGTATATATATATAAATATAGATATATATATATATATATATATATACGTTTGAAGAAATGAAACGACACGCATGTGCATATCATCTATCTATCTATCTATCTATCTATCTATCTCTCTCTCTATATATATATGGGTAAAAATATGCAGACAACATGTAAAACGATGCGAAGCATACATGTATAAACAAGTACATGCAACATACACACATACATACATCCGTACATACATACATACATACCTACCTACCTACCTACCTACATACATACATACATACATACATGTAATATATGTATATACAGGACCATTCAATCAACCAACAAATCAATCACACAAATATAACAGTTGATTTAGCTCTTGATTAGCTGATTGATAGGCTGACTACCTACTTTATCAGGTAATACACCAGTTAGTCAAACAAAGACTTAGTTAATGTAGTATTTAACTGATTAACCTATGAGTTCATTGTAAAGACGTATTTACGGTTTGGTACCTAGACAACTGCCGAGAGTCTTTGGGCTTGTAGGCGCCTGGTGCGTCAGATCATTGCAAACCCTAATGCTGAACACCGAACCCCAAAACCTAAACCGTCCCTGAGGCCTTCAAAACCGTATGCTGGGCTCTTGTTGAGGCACTTACTTGAAGTCACCATAATCAGGGTCTATGTAAAAATGTGTGTTGAATCCCTCAACAAGAACACAGTATAACCAGAGAAGACTTCCCCATGGCACAAACCCTAAACCCTGAACCCTAAACCCTAAACCCTGAGCCCTAATTCCTAAACCCTAAACCATACTACTCCTAAACCGCCCATTTGCCGCCCATGGCACCTTCGTCTCGGAGGCTTCGCACGCTCGATCGATGGCTTGTACGAGGGTGTCGTTCAAGCGGATGCCAGGTTTGACGTAGGTCCTGGGCTGTGGGTTTAGGGTTTAGGGTAGTTTTGAGCTTACCTAGAGTAAACAATGTATATATCGTTCTCCAGGGTTTTTGACCCTAAAGAACTGGTACATTTACCCAGGTTCAAGCGCATTATCAGGCTCACCGGCCAAGCTTTCTCATCTTGTAGGCACCGGCCAGAGCTGTGAACGCAGTTTCCGAATCGACGATAATGACTTAGGTAAAGGGTTTCTTTTGCGGTGATAAATGTTAGGGTTACGATTCAGGGTGAAAGTCTTGTAACTCGAATTTCAGGTGACTCGTATGCAGAGCCCAATGTAGGTTGGAAACGGTAGGCTTTTAGGGTTGAGGGGTCAGTTGCTAGGAGCTTAGAGCCTAGGGTTGGGCTATGGATCCAGGATGTAGGGCGTAGTAAGGGGTTGGGCGTTTGTCAGAGGTCATCTTGCTCTGCCAAGGTACCCGGTCACGATTGAGCCAGTTCGATGGAAGTCCCTCTTGTTGAGGAAACCTGACTGGCTCACGGGTCTCGAGGAACTTGCAGGATTGCACAGGGTTGATGTAGGGGTTAAAGGCCCTAAACCCTACGTACTGTAAACCCTAAGCCCTAAACGGGTAGTGTAGGGTGCTCCACCGGCTTAGGGTTTTGGGCTTGGGTGTCTACCTCAAGTCTCTATCGCAGCACCGTTTAGTATCCCAGTCATAGAAACGGTTTAACCAACAACAACTACAATGGAGACGACAGGCAGTGCTAAACAAGGCGAACAGCGAGATCTCCTGGCCGCCATGTTGGACGGGGTGAGGGCAACCATTTGACATTTAGGGTGATCGAATACTATAGTTCCGTTTTCAACGGTCCCCAAAACTATTCATATTTGGGGCTCTACATTGAACAACAAAAAGGAAACTAGATATTCTCCCAGATCGATACCTGGAACAAGAGTGGGGACGCCGTAGACAAGAACAAGCATGGAATTCCAGCTAGGGCCGAGGCTGTGAAACACCCGGCGGTCCAGCTCCTCTGAAGCACGGCTTGAGGGCTTTCAGGGTTTAGGGTTTATACGGTTCAGGGTTTAGAGGGATTTGAAAAGTTTAAGATTTGTTGAGGTTTGACGAGGCAACCTCAGAGTAAAGGCTTGAAGGGCTTTCAAACCTTCTTTGCAAGCAGGGTTTCGCTTCATCATCACGGGGTTCTGATGACCTCCAAAATGATCTAGACCTAAGAGTAACCTATAGGAATAAAAAGGGTGCCCTTTTGGGGTTAAAGGGAATTATAAGAGAACCTAAGCCTAAATCCTAAAAAGGGAATAAGCGTCTACTCTGGGTCCTAGTGATGCACTTGGACTGTTTGCTTCCAGTTGTCTGGGTTCAGCTAGTGGAGTGCCTCTAGAAGCCCATCAACATCGCCGACAAAACCAAGCAAGCGTAACAAACGGATAGTTAATGCGTCCCGTTTCGGTACCAAGATACTACGGCACCCCCAGAAGAAGGACCCTAAAAGGGCCACATAAGAGATCCTATTGCGTTATAAAAACTCCTAGAAAGGGTTCATACAGAGCTTTTATCGCAACAACCAGCAGCTACAGGATACGTACATTCATTTAACAAACCTACCCTGAAGGTCCAGGGTTTGTTCTATGGCTGTTCTATACGCCCCCCAAACAAGAACTGACCAGACCCAACTAGCCAATCATGGAATCCTGTGACCTTACAGAAACTTTCCGGAGTTTCTAGTGATCCTTATCTATTGAATCTACTGATGCCCTTATAAAACTCCTACACATCCAACCCTTGAAGGATCCCTGCTCGGAAACCTTAAAAAGATCCCAAACCCTCAACCCTGAAAGGGCCTCTAGACTACCACCGGAACCCTTATATACAAATATCTTAGAAGCTGCCCCTACCCTGTAATAGTGGTATAATAAGAATATAACCGGGCCCTAATAGAATCCTTATAGTCACTATTACAGGGCGGAGGCAGCTTCTAACAAACATTCTAAACACTAAACCCTCCACCACCTGCAAAGACCCTGCAAAACCCACGGGTGCAGGACCTCGGAGGGATCAAAATACTCCAGCTGAACCTTTGCGTGAGGCTTTGGCAAGAGGGGTTTAGGGCTTAGGATCCCACAGGGGTCTCAGAAAGGTAATTCAAGCGGTTTCTGATAAATTTTGCAAGTCTGTGAACTTAGCTTGCACTAGCTTAAAGCTCCAAGAAGCATGCGCGATCCGATAGCATGTGTCCGTGGCTTGGGAACAAGCTTGCCGTCATCATGGATACTGACACAAGCATTCCAATAGTGGGCACACCAGTTTGCAAAGGCCTTTCGTAAACCATGGGAGCCCCCCACAGATGCTTCTCTGTTCATACTGTGTTGCCACCACGCTCGTCCCCATGAAGGTTCTAACCACCATGAGCGCCAACCGACTTTTCCATCGAACTTGCAAGAGGCATGGATCCGTAAAGAACCTACCTTGTTGCAGTTCCTCAATATGATTTCCCTATATGAGTCCTTAAAAAGGTACCAGTAGGTTATTTGGATCCCTTCCTGCCCGCAGAGGTTGCAATTTCCAGTTATCCTGTTCGTTTAAAGGGCTGAGCTTTTGTCAAAATGTGGTCCTGCAGAAAAGTCTGTAGCACTCCTACCGACGCAACGAAACTCAGCAGAGGTGCCGTCGACCCTGATGAGTTACTGTTCTCGTGCCAGAAATAAGTTGATACGGATGGCAGGGTGATTGACATGCAGTGAAAGATGACACAAACACTAGTATAGGGGTCTGAACCTAAGGGAGCCAAACCCTGACAAAACCACAGATTGCTGCCAAGATGCAGGGCCTTCATGCCACTTCTTGGGCCCCTTGGTGGGGGCTGCCAGAGACTCCAAAGCTTTTTGATTAAGGAATATACCCTAATGCGGTCCTTGAGAAGAATTTCAAGCTATGTTCTTCCTGATCAAGGCACTTGGGGAGTCTCATCCTACACCCTAAACCTCTAAAATCCCTACACTCTCAATTTACCCTAAACCCTACACTCTAAATCTAAATTCACCCTTAACCCTAAACCAAAGGTCTGAAGCATTAGGACTCGTACTGTTGATGATATGAACCCTGCATTACCTTAATGACCCTAGACTATAGGAAATATGGTATATTTCGGATTATGGGCAATTGCAGGGTTTATATCATCAAACGTTTTTGCAGGCTTCTGGACCCAGAGACCACTTGCTGACAGTAGCTTGCTGCCTCTGGGCCCTACAAGTATGGTCCCCAAGCCATAAACCCTGAACCCTGGTATAGACCAGGTAAAACCACAGGACAAGGACCCCTCACGGAGGACCTTTGCCCCCCAAACCTGAACACAACAACACCGCAATAAGCCTTAAACCGTAAGTTCAACACTAAACCCTAAACCCTAAGCGCTAAACCATAAACCAAATTAAAACCTGAACCCAAGGTCCAACCCTACCCCTAACGCTCCAAGCACTCAAAGTTAGCGCTAGGGTAGTGAGAAGCGAGGGTGCTAAACCCCGAGCCCAACTGTAGCAAATAGAACTCTATAAACCAAGAACCATCACCTCGAAACCCTAGGTCCGTAACTTCCCGATGAGTTCGCTGCATGCTCTGGAGCGAAGTCGCTCTCGGCCCCTGCACAGCTCTTTCCCATTCCGGATCTGGAATCATAGAGTGTAGGAATTTCGGGTTTAGGGCTAGAAATTATGGGCTTGCGAATTGTGGGTTTAGCGCTAGGTTAGGATTTTGGAACTTATAGTCATAGGGTTTAAGAATTTAGGGTTTGCGATGTAGAGTTCGGGGGTTTAGGGTTTATCAGGGTATATCAGGATTTGGTAAGACAGGGTTCTGGAGGTTTTGAACCTTCTCGGAAGCTCTTCTCAGAATCCTTGCAGGGCTCAAGGGTCCAGGGTTTACTTGGAGGGTCGGGGGACTTAGTAAGTAGGTAGTAAGTAGACTTATAAGTACCCTAATAGGGACCCTAAGTAGGGGTTACGATACTTATAACTCTCTAAAATAACTATTTACTGAGTCCCCCGACCCTCCAAGTAGGGCTGGGGCGCTCCAAGCTAACGCTTCCATATGTAGTGAACCCCAGAAAGCTGGAACAAGGATGATTAGTGACAGGACCCCCTTAATAGGGGCATGACAGAGGGTAGTTGGCGGGTCTAGGTGTTGGGATTCCCTATACTTTACCTTCAGGGCATGAGGATGATGATGTTCCAACTTCCTGACTTCCACTATAGAGGCTCCTTGAAGGGTCTTTGCAGGAGCGAGTTGGGGGTTTAGGGTTCAGGTTGTCTGGCTTGTGCAGAGCCCTCGAATCCACCGACGCATGAATGTATATATGCATGCTGCACGAAAAACTCTGTGCAGATTGCAACCTCTGGTGCTGCAATCCCTGAGCCCTTATAAACCCTCAAGCGGCTCCAGGATATCTACACTGGCTACCCCAATGTGATTGCTACGAAGAAACGTTATATGCTTTTCACGCGAAATAACCAACCCTCATACTCTAAACCGTAAATAACAAAACCCTAAACCTAAATCCTAAACCCCAAAACCCTCATACCCTAAGCAATGAGTACTACACCACCCTCAAACCGTCGAGCAAACCAGGGCCTCGTCGAGAGGTAAGTGTAAAGTCACATGTGCGGATTTAAGCTCTAGGGTTATAGGGTTAAGGTTCTAGCGTTTAGAGTTGAGGTCGATAGACCTACAGCCTTAAACTCTAAACCCTGGACCCTCAGCCCTTTATACTAGGGCCTGTCAGAGTCTAGGATTTGGGGTTTCGGGTGCTTCAGAACTGCATGGTTTGGAGCTTGGGGTTTCAGATTTGCAAAATCGGGCTGGGGGAACCCAAGACCTGCGAGTATACATTGGATGAAGCCCCTAACTAGAGCTTACCTGGACTCCAAGAAACCTACCTTTTAGGGTTCTTTATATCATGATTTAGCTGATATAAGTCCTTTTTCAAAGAAACCTACTTTTCAGGGTTCCTGAACATGAATTAACTTGTATAAGTCCTTTTTGCGGTTTGTTACTTGGGGCTTTGGTGGGGTCAAAACCCAAACCAGCTGTGCAAACAAGCAGCGAAACGGGTTCTGCTGTATGTCGAAAATCTCCTTCTGAGCAAAGCGCCACCTGCATCCCATAATAGCAACAATTGTAACAGTACCTAGCAGCAACAGTAAGAGTAAGCGTAATAGCAATAGGAATGGTAACGCAGTAAATTCCTAGACTTAAGACTGATGTGTGGGGGTGCCGTTATATGATCAATAATATCCACATCTCAGGGAATCCGAAAAAGTTTGGTAGCACGTGCATAGGGTTGTGGAACAGTCAACAGTGGTGGTTCTCGTTGGAAAAAGTCTATCAGTGCAGATTGTGTGTGCGTGTGTGTGTGTAGTGTGCTGAACCTGCACGTGACTTAAGTTGCTGTTTGTGACCTATGAGCCTATAGTTCGGGTTAACAGTTGCGGTTCAGCATCCGTGGCCTTTGCCACGCTACGATAGCTCACAAAGTACGACAAAACCATCCCTTTCTTTGAGAAGGCATTCCTTGGACAGGTAGGCGCAACATGATCCTCGGTAGTTCTACTTCGAAGTCGCATGATCCTGTAAGTACCCCAAACCGCTCCCGTTGTAGAACCCTTGTAGATCCCTTTAAGGAGCCCCTTCAAGGAATCCTTTGAAGAACCTTTACCCTAAACCCTCAACCCTGTAAACCCCATGACCCCTATAAACCCTAAAGCCCTTTTAAGGAACCCTGGCGTGAGTAGGCTCACCTGAGCGACTCGCAAGCTGCAACAACAGAATCCGCAAGCTCGAGCTTGAGAATTCCACGAATGTAGGGGCCTTAATACTTAGAATCAGGTTTGGGGGGCAATAACTTTATAGTCTATTATACCCGCAAACCCGAGTCTAATTATTTAAGGCCCTTACATTCCGGCTACAGTAATTGAAGCTGGTTGAACCCTAAGCCCGACATTGTATGGGACACGATTTACGAGCCGCTGGATCCTCGACTCTGCCACCCCGCATCGTCAGAGCCTGTCCCAGAAAATTGGGACACTGAAGTCGTGTCCACCTGAAATGCAGATTAGCCGAGATGTTTGAGGAAGTCTTCCAAGGAAGGCTTCTTTAAAGGTGGCCTGTTTGCATTGGCATCGGGTGTCATCAACTTTCCTGGAAAGTGATCTAGGGGCGTTAACAATTAGATATAAATACAATCAGGAACCCCCCAAAGTAGTATTGGTAGCCATCAAGGGCCGTATATGAAACAGCGGCTGCATCGTCCTGAGCTCCTTCTATGTGCCTGTAGTCTCCATTTCAATTCGTTCCTTTTGTGGGCTACCTTTTAGGATCCATAACATATATTTGGTTAAACCAGACACGAACTACAACGGAGACCAGACTTCAATCAACCATGGATATCATGGATACATCGCTAGACCTTCATGCGCCAGCCGAAGGCTGCAAGCAGAGATCAACAACACAGGGGCCTTACTTAATAATTACCCATACTGTTACGGGGGTTCCTTCTTGTAATTATATAGTATAGTGGGCCCCAAAACCCTCGTCTAATTCTTAAGGCTCCTGCATCGGCGACACTCCGGCAAGGCTTCATCTGACAGAGTCCAAGCTTCGAGGTTTCGGGATGCTAACGAAGTGGTGAGCCATATCCTGGACTTTGAAGTAACCAGGGAGAACAAAGTACAGACTTTTACTTCATAATGGTTCCTTTAAGGAACAGTTACCAAACAAGTATACAGGTATGGTAATCTAGACACAGGTTATCTCAGACCCCGTGCCTGGATAGTACGCCATCTCTCCGTTCCTGCCAACTCGGACGACCTCGGGTTGAAGTTCATGGTTCGTAGTCGTCACCGACACAGTGTCTGTGATCGTCCTCACAGCTCTGAAGCAAGGTTGCCGTAAGATCCTGAAACCTGCTAGTATGCCGAGTTTCGAGTGTTGTCGTGTTTCATTTTGTTTCGGTTCTTTGAACAAGCTATTCCGAGGATTCTTTCGTTCAATGTTGCTGGTACCAGCAAGTCATCGCCGCCAGCAGCACGAGGAGCATCGCCAGCATCAGCACCATCAAACCAACAGCACCCACGAGCTGCAAACTGATCTCCTCAGCAGTGCAGAAGCACTGCGATCATCATCACCACCAACAACAACATCATCATCAGTATCATCATAATCACAGTACTCATTCCTATCATCACCATCATCATCATCATCTGTTTTCAGTGGCAAAAGCAGCAGCAGGATCCTGGGCCCGTCGCTGTGACGCCTTCGCTCTGTGCCGCTTCGATCATGGCTTGGTAGCCCTGGCAAGGGAGCATACATGTAAAACATACATACATACTTACTTACTTACATACATATATATATATATATATGTATATGCATATATAACTAGTTGTATATGCATATTTGTTTGTATGTGTATATGTATATGTATACGTAAATGTAGATGTTTATGTATCTGTATATACAGATATGTATATACAGGGTTCATGTACGTACAGATGCGTATGCATGTACAGTGTGTATATATGTATATGTATATATATATATATATATGCATGTGTGTGCATATGTAAGTTCACATATATACACACATACACACATATACACATATATACAACCTACATATCCATATACATATACAAATTACAAATACATATATCTACAAACATACATATCACTATACATATACATGTACCTACATACCTACATACCTACATACATACATACATACACACAGAGATACGAACATACACATGCTTCCACAGAAACAAACATACTCGCACACACACACACACACACATCTAGACATACCTACACGCACATACATACTCATACTCATACATGTGCACACACACAAACACATGGATGCATATTAACATGCATATACACATAGCTATATAGTTGTAAGATGTACACCTATCCATATACATATATATATATATACAGACATATGCATATAGGTATTGTCTACATCTTATGCATACCATGTATAATGTATAGTATATCATCGCCTTCTCCTGCGCCATCAAGCAGAGGATGGAGCGAGGTCCTTGTTCGCCGGATATTGGTATTGGTGGTGAACCCACACTTGGTTGTAGTGCTTTAGGAGTCTTCAGGACGTTTATGGCTTTAGGTAGCATCCCTGATACTTATGATGTGCTAATGTGCTAGGTTTACAAAAGAGACACTAAACTGCCATGGTTACGAAGGCCTAATCGCCTCTGGAGGGAACCCAGAGACTCCATTGTCCTTTAATTCAGGAATGTATCGTAAGCCATGTCAAAGTTCCTAGTCTGGTTTAAAGTATATTGCTTGATTACGGGATAATGATGAAGTTTCTGGGAAAGATGGTGCATGGCTGGAGAATAGAGGCTTTGTAAGAGTGACGGCTCGTTACGGAGTCAGTCCATACTCTAAGTCCTAAGAAGGGATCCCTTATCTTCTGCACCTACCATGCAGCTAATATGAGGGGCCTTGATAATTCGAATATGGTTTCGGGAATCTTAAAGCCTGTAGAGTTATAGCAGCCGTGAGAGGAAGACTATTGTTACTTATTCAGGGCCCTACATTAGCTGCTAGGCTTCCCAGACCCCCGGGAGGATCTAGAAAGTAGATCCCCTAATTTGGGGTTCTATACTACTAAGGGTACTTTACAGGAACCCCCATTAAGGGATCTACTTTTTGGATCCTCCCGGGGGTCTGGGTTGAGGGGCTCTAAGTTCCAGGGTCTGGGAGATATCGAGTTCACAGGATTGCTCACAAAAGCTGGGTTCTTGTTAAGGAACTTAATTTAAGTTACCATAATAGGGATCTATCGTAAATAATAGGGTTTCCTTATTATGGTAACTTAAACTAAGTTCCTTAACAAGAACCCAGCAAAAGCTGGTGCAATGGTGTGACCGGACAGTATGGTGACTATGTGTTGACATGCCCTGCAACCCTGCTTCTGTTGTCTAGCTCAACCCACAACAGAGATAAGCTAGCTTCAAGACCTTACAGGGAACTCCAGAAAGTTGGAATATGGTTTCTTGGTACGATACCCTATAATTTACCATAGAAGGGTTAGGACAATCATATTCCAACTTTCTGGCTTTTGCCTTACCAGATCAAGCATCTTAAATCTTGAATCTTGAAGTATGGTTCCCTTCTGAAGGGGTTGAAGGGGCGCACGGTTCATGTCTGAGCCTGAAATCCTGTACCGAAGGGCTGAAAACGGGTCTTCGATTCACCCAGACCTGACATCAAAACCTCAAACAATGCTCTTAGAATTTAAGGTTTAGGGGGCTTAGGCTTTATCAAATCAAAACCTCAAACCATGCTGTTCCCTGTTCCTGCAGCCTGAACCTGACACTCTCAGTCGGGCACCACCGTTCGCCATGATGTCCAAGTGATGCCTGAACCTAGCAAGGAGATCAGGCTGTTCGGCTCAAGGGATGAGGCCTCATCTTGGTGCGTAGTTCCGCGCCGACGAATTTTCATGAATAGTTGGTTAAAGAAGTATTCCGAAAGCGTTTCGGGCTTAGGCTTCGAATGGGACCAAATATTGACAGCCGTGGGAGCGTCGAAGGAGAACTCGAAAAGTCTGGAAAGCCCGGGGGTTTCACGTTTTGGCGCTGCGATGGTGGCCTGTAGTTTAGTAGGATGACAAGCCCTATGTGCGAACTTGCAGGTCCGGTTTGCTGTCGGGAACTTATCTTGTGGTCTGAGCTAGAGGCAATCCAGCGGCAAGAGGAACCACCAACATAGGACCCAAAGCGATACGATCCAATGAACACATGAGGTGCTTCTCAAGGTCCGAACACTTGCATACATACGCAAACAACAGTACATATGGGGGCCTTTATACTTAGACGAGGATTGGGAGGGCTATATTTGTTTCCTAGTCACCAAAAGGAACCCGAAGAAATAGTTTTGGCAATTGTTCAGGCAGCGGTACTTAGCTCCGCAAGCTACCAAGCAAAATGGTCTTCGGGGCTGTGTCGGGAAAGTTCTGCAGATCAGTGCTCCATTTTCCGCCAAGAGTACTTGCCTCCCACAGTTATGACCTCCTCTGGAACACGAGTTGACAGACTTCCCCCTGCACCACCTGCTCCTGGAATGCTTTTATCCGAATGCTAGAGAACCCTATCCATAGCCAGCGGCCTTTCGAAGAGAATCACCTAAGCTTTCAGGGAGCGGCTTGCAAGCAAGCCCACGGTTTAGGGCTTCGTATATGGTTTAGGGTTTAAGGCTCCGGGGTTAGGTTAAGTCTTTGGCTCAGGGTCTAGAGTCTACTACTACTACTACTACTACTACTACTACTACTACTACTACTACTACTGCAAGTGCTACTGCTACTGCGATGGCAGCTGTGTCGGGAGAAGGAGTAGGCGTAGGAGTAGCAGTAGTAGGAACACGAACAGTAGTAGCAATCATTATTATTGTTACAAGTAGCAGTCGTAGTGGTCGTGGTAGCGGTAGTCGAGGACGAGGTCGACGACGACGACTACTGCTACTAAAACTGTATTAGTCGTGCTACTATTGTGGTAGCTCTGCCAATGTCACCGTCGATCACCCCAAACCCATCATATTACATGACATGCGGGTTGGGCTCATCAACACAGGTAGATACAGGGAGTTTGGAGCTAAGCTCCCAGGGCTTAAAAGGTTTTGTTGAGCAACTTTGGTCGCCAGCAGCATCTATCCCAAACCGTGCGACCCGGTTCGTTTGTAATCCACGCAACTGTGGCTGACTTTGCTGGAGGTCTCTGTAAGGAAACCAACTTATGTTCCCACAATGGGGAAAGCCCACTAGTAACTAGTAGTGTATGCTTGTATTACGGTACTCTCAACTACCTTCCTTAATAACAGTGCCGAAATTAGTCCTTCCTGGCGCAGCCCTCTTCCAATCAGCTCAGCCCAGCGCATCGACCCCGTCCGTGACAGGGGGCCATACCCTGCGGTTGATACTGCAAACGGTTTTGGGCTAACAGGGTTTAGGGTTTATGGCTTATCGGGTTTATTTTAGGGTTGTAGTTATGCTCCCACCACAAGCATCGCAGCAACCTGTTCGGGAGGCAGAGAACATAGAAGTGACTACCTCTTTCGTCTGCAGGCGCCGGATGTCATCAAGGCTTTGTGGCAACCCTACGAAGCCTGTCTAAATCTTTCTGTGATTCTCGTAAAGCCCAGAATAAGCAAGGACCTCCGCAACCCTGACTCGAGGGAATGTCGGAGGCGTGAGGAGGTTCGCAAGTGGAAGAGGAGTCTGTTCAATCGAGTCAATGCATTTGAACTGTTGCGTGGCTGCAGAGCCCTGACAACAACATGACGTAACATTATGAAAAGCACTGAAAATCCTCATATAATCAACAAAAGCATGCAAGATTTTGAAACAAAACTCGACTAATCTGTATGCCAAGTTATACACACTTGAAAACATCAAGTTCCTAAAGCTTGAAATTACGTGCAAAAGTGACCCTGCCAGCGTTCTGTAGAATCGGAATCTTTTGATAGTGACTCGCTACCGTGCCAAACCGAACATGTGAGATTGTCTCCTGCCCTCTTATCGGATTCCCCACGGCCTGTGGACAACACCTCCAAACTGCCGGAGGCTGTTGTACAAATTCTGCTGGCCCTGCAGATATGACATCCTGAGCGGGGGCGACGTGTTGAGTCGGCAATGAACGACAACTACAGTGTTCGTTCCATGTCGTTCTTGCACCTATTCGTACCAGCATCAACTTGTCCAAAGTACTACATTTAGTGCTCATGGTACTTGGGACATGGAGACGTCAGGTCTAGGGTTATTGCCAGATGAGCAGATAAGGAGGCTTAGCTTGTGATGAGGCAATCCAAACGGGCAGCAGCCTGAGGAGACTTTCAACACCCAAGATAATACATAGGTGGAGCCCAAAACGGTGTTCGGACACCATAAATAAATGCAGACACTAAAGTGTACAGACCAAAGAAAGTAGTCACAACATCATATCCTTCAGACTTCCCAACTTGACAAGGTGCGCAGTGGTGGGGGAGTTGAACCCGTCGGTATGATGTTGATAAACGAAGTTCGGCATTCTCAAAACACGCTGCAACCCAAATTGTAAGCCTTTGAGGACCACATAATTACCGCATTGATACAAGGTGTTAGGCTCCCTGCAACGGTAACACAATGACAAACCCTGCAATGCAAGCAGTGTCCTCGGCGGAGAGTCGAACCGCGTGTATTCCACAGTCTCGACTCGCGTGACCTGCATAACATGCCGTAAACCCAGGCCGATTATTAGCGATGTGAAGTAACATGGGCTATGAACCTTAAGCCATAAACTGTAACCCTAAATCCTCCGAAACCTTTAGTTTACACCGAAAGACCTTCAAATGTCAAAGGAAGGCTTTCCTATGTTCTGGATGCTTTCAGGGCTCTGGGAAATTCTGCAAGGGTGGCTCTCAGGGTTCTGTAAGGCCTCTATTGACAAAGTGGCCTTGAAAAACACACGGTGCTTTGGAGTACACCAAGGATCCTAAACAAGCATCATTAGACGAAGATGAGGAGGCCTGTGAAAAAATAACACAAGTTATTCATGCTTCTAAGCTACATCAGCGTCATGAAAACCCGCGGCCTGTAACCCTAAAACCTAGACCCCCAAACGCAAAACCCTGAATTACGCTGCCAAACCCGGCAAAAGGAAAGCTAAGCCTGGAAGGAGGGTCGGGGGACTTAGTAAGCTGTCCTTTCAAAGACTTATAGGTATTCTAGCCCTAATTGGGACCCTTTTTGGGCTATGTATAAGTCTACTTATTCCCATACTTCGTCCCCAGTTCCTCCAAAGTAAGACATAGACATGCCCCAGCGGCACCCGGAACTTCAGCCAGCACAGCTCAAGCAGCATCGAAAACTAAGCTTTGCATGAATTTCACAATCAGCAAACGCGACCAGTTCTTGCATGCATCTTCTACACCCGGAACTCCAAGATAGCTTGCCCCGAACTTCCTCAGAAGCAAAACCACAAACCGAAGAAAGCCCTGAACATTCCAACTCTCAACAAAAACACACGAATGAGGTCACGACAGTCGCGCCCAAAAGCCCAGCAATCCATCGGCAGTATCGGTTCTTGGCGGCAGGGGCTGTGGGGCTTTCACTGTGGGAGTCCCCGGCAAACATAGGCTCGTTCAGAGTTTAGGGCATCAGGATTCAGGATGATGTGAGTCTCTCTCCAAAGTGTTCGGTTCTGGATGAACGGGCTACAGTGCCATACCTCTCTGAGGGCAGGCCATGCAAGCCTCAAAGGGACCAAATTAGAAGAAGCGTAGCGAGCATGTGTAGGAGCCATGGATATGCATGCACAGGCCATAAGGCATTCGAGATCTCTCAGCATCTCCTGCGTTGAGACGGGGAGACACATTCACGTGTGCACGTCCCGAAAAGCCTAGTACAGGGCTCACAGTTTGAGCCCACCACTATGAAACATACTCTAAACCGTAAAAAAAGGGCCTTAATAATTAGAATAGGGTTTTGGGGGTCTGTTGTATTATACTTGCCTTTGCTCAGCGGAATTTTGGAATTTTTTTTGGAGACCTTTTTGGAAAATATCTTTTTTGCACAACCTGCTCTTTTTCCCGGTCTCGGGGAGGCCATCAAACCGAGGAAAGAAAATATCTCAATTACAACCTACAAAACCACCACTTTCAACAGCAACAACAACAACAACAACAACGACAACAGCTTCAGCGTCAGCATCAGCATCAGCAACAGCAGCAATAACAGCAACACCAACAACGTCCACACGAACAAACAACAGCAGCATCAATGATGACCAGGCCAACAACAACAAACAGACAACAAACGAACTAAACAGCTACACAAACAAACAAGCAAGCAGAAACAAACAACCCAACTTCGCCAGCCAGCCAACCAGCCATACAGCAAACCAGCCAACCAGCCAACCAACTAAGCAACCAGCCAGCCAACCAGCCAACCAGCCAGCCAGCCAGCCAGCCAACTGGCTAGCTAACTAAATAGCTAGGTAGCTGATTAGCTGGCTAGCTAACTAACTTACTACCAAGTTGGTCTAACCACAACAACACACAACAAATAGTAACAATGCAACGGTTCTGGGTCTCAGGCTAAGTTTAAGTGTCTTTAATGCTTCAGTTTCAGGGTGCGCTTCAATATGTTTAAATCGTGTCTGCGGTTTTCATGCTGTTTTGAGCCTCGGCCTATCTGTTAACCGACGAAGTGACCAGACTGAGCTTTTGCGTCGCTGCCACTGTGTGCACTTGTGAGTTTATCATCTTTTCCACATCTCATTTCTTAAGGGTGTGCTTCTGATTGTGATTAGGAGTATCTACCAGCATGATTTGTCGTCGCATGATACATGCAGCTTCGGACTCCAAACCAGAAGATATTTCCAACTTGGGACAAAATATTTGCCTTTCTCGGGCTCCAAGCTGGCTGCTTAGACTCAGACTCGCCCATGGGGGGAGGCTGCTTCGGCCTCAGATCGGGCTGCTTCGGCCTGTCAAGCAGACGCAGCGCTCAATCCAAGACCCGGCTTTGAATGGCTGATGCGGCCAATAAAAAAATGGCTGATACGGCCAATCAAAAAGAGGCTCAACTGAAGTGGGCCCGTTTGCGCTCGAAGTGGCAGCAGGCATGCAAGCTGCCTGGCCATGGGACTTGGCTGGATGTGAAGCTCGCACCTTGGGGTGTTGGGTGCAAAGCTTGCAAAGCAGCTGGACTCACAGGCAGCCTTGCCCAGTACGGGGTGAGGACGACAGCTGGCCTCCAGATGCAGAACTTCTTGAAGCATCAGAAGAGCGCAAGCCACAAGGAGGCAGTGTCACAGTTTGTGGGCGGTTCCAGCTCCACTGCAGTTGGAGCTCCCCCACCTCAGAGCTTTCAAGCACTTATAGACGAGATTTCGGCTGGAAGGCCTCCTGGCTGCAGAAAGAACAGGCAAATGACTTTTTGCTTGGCTGAAGCCGCAAAAGCTCTAGACCAGGACTTCGTGGCCAAGGCTTCAAAGGTGTGTCTTTTCAGAGACGAGCGAAAAGGACGGTTGCTGCTCAGATTCCGGGCTGTTGACAAAAACCTGCTTGTCCGAAGTGGCACCATGGGGTTGGCTATCCAGCCAGGCACAGGGGCGAGGAACATTACTGAAGCGACTCGAAAGATCATGAAACGATTTTGCACACGCTTCGCAGGCTGCCCCAACTCATCACGCAAAGACAAGAAGGCAAAACCTTTCCTGAAAGTGAAACTCTTCAAGCACCTTACAGAGTCTGTTACTTGCATCGCAGTTGACGCCGCCGCAGATGAAGTTCTGAGCTCTGAGCTCATGCGTGCTTCGGCGTGGAACGGCAGCCAACAGAAGCTGACTCCCAATCTTCGCTTCGTGGTTCGTGACAAGGCACACGCCAGTCGCCGAATTACGTCTCGTCCTTGGAGTGCGGATGATGTGCTTAAAGATGTTATGCAGTTCATGTGCGGCGGCCGGCATTCTATTGCTAAGTTGCTTCAATTTAGCGAAGAAATCAAGCGTATATTCGTGGAATTTACAACGAGCACCGACACGGTGCTAAAGCGGGCAGTCTCCGATTTTCGTGCTGCTGCACATCGCTTCGAATCACACGCTAAACCACTTGGCCGCACATGCCTCTACATTCATGCTTGTATCAGAACAGCTCTGCGCCTTACCAAGACTCGCAGCGACGCAAGTGGGCAAAAGGCAAAGGCATGGCTCTTGTGGCTGTCGGAAGAACGGGCTCTTCTGGCAGCGATGTTGGCTGATGCGGCCGACTCGTCCATTCGGCTGACTCGGCTGATGGACACTGAGAGCGTTGATCCGGCCATGCTGTGCCGCGAGGTGTCTTTGTATATGTCTTCTGTGAAGGGACTGTTCCTGCATGGTGCTTGCTTTACGGAATTTGGCTTTACATCGACGATGTTGGAGACACTGAAAACACCCATCGTTTTTCAGTTGGGTTCTGAAACGAAAAGCTTTGGTGACAGCAGCGGTGTGCCCGAGGAGATCAAAAAGCGGTGCCTGGCCAGGATGCAAGCATGGCTTAAACTTGCTGAAGCGGCGGTAGCTGCGGAATTTCCTTCCTTCGAGATTGCTCAGGCCGGGGTGATTTTCTGAACGTTACCTAAACCCTAAACCCCTATTGTTTCCATTGCTACTATATTGATTTTTGAATTAATTATCTTAGACGTGGTTGCTTTTTTGTTGCTTTCACTAATACAACAACAATAATAAGACTATTGATGATGGACTTTGTGCCAGCCACAGGCTTTCGACGTGTTCGACCTCAGCGGTGGCTCTCACAACGCCGACGAGAAGCTCCAGCGGGTCGCCAAAGCCTGCAACCTGGACGAGCAGGCGCTGAAAGCACAGTGGCGGGATGTTTATCCACGCGCCGAGAGGCTTCTGAAACAGAGCACGGACATGAATGCCAAGAACAAAGATGCATGGGCCTTGGCTTTGGACCGTTTATGCCAACATCACTATACGAAAGGCCAACACCCGGTCGAAATCCTCAGAGAAGCATTGATCCAGTACTTTTCTTTTGGGGCCAGCAGTTCCGGTGTTGAACAAAGCTTTTCAAAGTCCCAATGGGGCTTTGGCACACGCAGAAATTCTGCTCTTCATTCCACTGAGGAATTTTCAGTCAAGGCTTTACTTGACCTTCCGGCTGTTGCGGCCTCGCAAAAAGACCGGCTGATTCGGCTGGCTCGGCTGACCTGGGTGAGCTGCTTCGGCCAGTCAAGGTCATCAACGGCTGAAAGGGTAGACAAAGGCAGCAAAAGAAAAACCGAAGACGACGAAGAAGCTAAGCCTGCAACGGAGGCTGCTTTTTTGCGCAAGCGCCGACGTGGTGAGGCGCTGGCTGCTGGGCGCATGGAAGGCAACTCTGAGGTTGCTCTTGACCTGCACGAGCAAGTTTGGACACAAAAGCACCAGAAGGAACTGGAATTTCAACAGAGGAAGAGGAAGATGCGAAAGCTTCAAGCCTTCTCCGAGAATTCTTTGCTGCAACGCGAAATAGAGGATGGTATGCAGCAAGAATCCGAAGCATGTCACAAAAACATGATACAAAGGGAAACCGCACGTCGAACCAAAGAAAGAAAGATGCTTCGGGCAGAAAAAGGCTGCTCGCGAGCCGACTTAAAGGCTGCCTGGGCAGGAAAGAAAGTTTATCTGGCTGTTCCGGCCAATATGCACTTAGTGCAGGGAATATCAGACATGGGCCTTGCGGTCACGAACCAAGCGTCCGCAGCGACAGTTATTGTTTGTTCCAAGCCCGGACATATGCAAGACCCGCGGCTTCGATTGCTTGCTGGGCTGCAAGGTTCCTATGAAGTCGCTCCTTCATTTTTTCTGACTGGTCAGGGCGCGGTACTGAAGAGGCGGGCGGCTGCTGCGATCAAGCGAGTGCTCATTGTGTCCAAGGCATGCGCCAAAAAATGTCCTAAGTTCTGGAGATTCCTGCGAAGCTGCCTGCCGGAAAATCACAAGTGGACAATGGCCAAAACGGCTTTGTCCGCCATTCGAGCAGCACACGGACGCTTCCCGAAGAAAAACGTCTGGGTTGTCGTCCTTCCCGGCCAGCGAAATCACCAGGACATTCAAGGGCTCCCGAATGTGTTCACGATGCGGTCGTTGCCAAAGCGCATCTGCAACAGCTTTGACCCCGGCCTCTCCAGAAGTGGCTCTGCGCTGACGTGACGCAAAATTCAAATGAAGCTGGCTTCTGCATGGCCGTTCTCTTGACTCGGTTTCTGAAGTTCACTAAGCTTTATATCTCCTAGCTTCTTAGCTTATCGTTATCTAAAATAAAATCAATCATTTTTCATGTAGTGATGTTGTGATATCGATGCTTTTGGCTCAATTCACAGATAAAATTTAAAAGCTGTCGGCTGCTCCGGCCTGGCCGTCTCTTGGCAAAACCGGCTGCTTCGGCCTGTCGTCTCTCGGCAAAACCGGCTGCTTCGGCCTGCCATGCCGAAACAAAGTGCGAACACGAAAAAGACAAGGGTTCCACGAGTTGTGAAATTTGGATCAGACTTCTCAGGCTTGGACAGCGCCTGGCTGGCCTTGAAACGCATGAAAGTAAAAGCTCAGCTTTGCTTTAACAGTGACAGTGATGCTAACTGCAAAAAGCTGCTGCAAAAGATCCACAAGCCTGAGGCCTTTCACGACGACATTGCAGCCAGGAAGCCGCAAAGTGAACAGTACGTGGACCTCTACGTAACAACACCGCCATGTCAGCCGTTTTCCATGGCTGGACAAAAGAAAGGCCTCAAAGACAAGAGGGGGCAACTGCTAAAATTTAGCGTTGCTTTTGTCTCTCGCCAAAAGCCAAGAGTGGTGGTGCTTGAGAACGTGGCAATGTTCGCAAGTAAAAAATTCAAGCCAGTAACCCGAGGACTGCAGCGAGCGTTCAAGAAGCTTGGCTACGTTTGCTTCGCGCGAGTCTTGAACAGCGCAGACTTCAAGGTCTCGCAAGCCCGTCGTCGTTTCTTCTTAGTTGCGATCCGGAAGGACAGCCTCCACCATCCCTTTCACTGGCCGCAACCTGTGGGAAAAAGAAACTTGGAGGATGACTTGGACCCAGCGAGGCCAAGCGACCGGCCCGGGCGGCTGCCGAAGACGAAAAGGGCTAGAGACCTTGCGTTGGCTGCTTACGGCCAAGTTTGGAAGAAACAAAAGCTAGATCCCAGACAGGTCCCAGTTGCCGTGGACATTGACTGCTCTCCCCGATTTGCTTCCTACGGCGTGAACCAATTGAAAACTTTGACAAAATCAAGAGGCAGCTGTGGCGGCCACTGGCTGTCCAACCGAGGCCGCAAAATGACGATCAATGAATTGATGCGAGTGACGGGTATCAACCCCATCGAACTCCGTGGCTACAAAGAAGAAGGCATCAGCGATGCTCAACTCGGCGGCATGCTGGGTAACAGCATCCCTGTGCCCCTCATCTTAGGAGTGCTGACGCAGGCCATGAAAGCAGGAGGCTTGTTGTTTGTGCCCAAAGGACAAAAGGAGACTTAGACGCCAGAGCTGCTTCGGCTCTAAGTCAAGGCTGCCTCGGCCTGTGCTTTGGCTGCATCGGCCGTCCGGGTACGCTGTCTTCGCACCCGTGCTCTGAAACGTTGTCGCCGTCAAGTTTGCAAAACTGTTGAGTGTGCCGTCATGTAAGTTTATAAGATGCATGTAATTTAAGCTCTCTGTGTGTGTGATATACTATTATTAAATTATTCTAATGCAAAATCATTTACTGTCCGCTTCGTAAAACCCTAAACCTAGTCTTGGAGCTTGCATTGATCACTGACATTTTGAGATTTGTCTATCTGCTGCTGCCGTTTCGATCACAGCTGGGAACCTTAGGTGTAGCGGCGTTGCCTTGTGGCTGAATCGGCCGCCCGAACGGCTGAAACGGCCGGCAGCATCTGTTGCTTTAACGGCTGAATCGGCCGTCCAACATCGGCCAGGCCTGGCTGCAGTGGAAAGCTGGGCTCATGCCGCTGCCTGCTTCGGCACCATTGGTTTTCGCTCGTAAAATGAGAGAAGATATCGAAGAAAAACACTTTAGGGATGATTACGATATACAAGACTGGCTGGATGAGCTGACAAACTTGAGAGACATGGCGGTGCAGTACCACGTTTGGATGGCGCAAACGGACGCAGAGTCAGAGGCCTGCCATGCCGTCGTCAACCTGGCCGACGGCATCACTTTGGTTCTCGGTGGCTTGGACGAGGACGAAATGTCCGATGCGCCATCCGTAGTAGTGCACTCAAGTCTTCCTCAACGGATAGAACCGGCACCCAGCAATATCAGTTGCAGGGCATTTCAAGCTATGCGCTGGATGCCTCCTGCTGAATGGAACAGTGCGGCATTCCATTTTGACAGGGCATGCCAGAGCCTTGATTTCTTGCGTCGTATAACTGCCCTGACGAGGTTCGAGACAGCAGAGAAACATAGCTTAGACCGAACGCTGGGCCAAGCGCAAGGACAGCTTTTCGATGCTCAAATGATACTCCGCGGCTGTGCTGTAGTTCGAGACGAGCTTCGTCGTCAAGATGCGACCCAATCCGACAATCCCTCGGGCTCAACTTAAAGGCTGACTCGGCCTTCACGAAGCTGCAAGCTTGAGCTCCAAATACTTAGAAGCTTTTGAGTGTTTGGGCTGCTTCGGCCCACGACTATCAGCTGCATCGGCTGCGATGTCACGGTGCTTCTTAGGTCTTTTGAAGCTTAGGAGCTGTCTGAGCACGGTCCGCGTGGCTGGCTTGCAAAACAAGTATTTCGGATTCTTTATTTGCATACCAGGTATAAATTATAGGGCTTCGCTTCAAGGTCTGGGCTTTAGATCTCATGAACATTGTCGCCTTATGGTTTCGGGCTGAAGGCTGCAGTGTCTAGGAAATAAACTTGAGCCTTAAAATCAAGTATGAGGTAAAGCTAGTTCTAGGGTTTAGGATGTAAAGGATAACTTAGTGGTTACGGGTTTAGGGGTCTAGGTAGGGCTGCAACGTTTAGAGTTTTAGGGCTTGCGGCGTGAACTTTAAGGACTTTAGGGTTTAGGATTTATGCTTAACTTTGGGATTAGATTTTTTGGGGTTTAGGGCTGTCTTGGAGGGCTGCTGATCTCCTCAGAACTACTCCCGGGCTGGCCGAAGGAGCAGACGAAATGACCTCTCCACCCGCAGGCCGGTGACGTCCCTGAACTGCGAAAGGAGAGGGTGGTGAGAGGGCGAAATAGAAATTCCGTTGAGCAAACAATTTCCTAAGGACTCTGTCCCCCCACGCCCCTCTCCACAGGACGGTCGGGGACGTCCCTGAGCTGCGAATGGAGAGGTCGAATTGTCCTCTCCTTAGGAATACCAGCCGGCCAAAAAAAATTCCGCTGAGCGCATCAAAGAAACAATGCACGAACTCGCCTCGGGGACGTCCCTGCGAATAGAAAATCATGATGCGATAGCTAGAACTAAGGAAAGCCTGTCAAAAAAATTCCGTTGAGCGCAGCAAAAGAAAACCACCAACTCGCCTCGGGGACGTCCTTGCGGGCAAACTATTGAATTTACAAGACTCAAAATTTAATTAGGTGAGGTGGTAGAAGCAAGGCCTATATGTAAAAAAACGTTAGGATCTGCGAAACAAAAAGCACCAACCCGCCTCGGATTTCCTTGCATGTTTTTTAGGAAAAGATCGCAAAAGGTGTTTGTTGTAGTTTTCCAAGCAGGGTTTAGGCATGTTCTGCAGCCGTAGAAGTAGGTAGCTCCCGTGCCGCGCTGCGCTTCTCACAGCTTTACTACCGCAGCCGCACCTTTTACAGTTTGCTGACATAGCTTAGTTTGCTAGGACCCCGTGCCTCTGCTTCCGTGGCTGTTGCGGCCTGTCGGAAAACTTTAGGCTGCTTCGGCCTCTTTGCGTCTGGCTGCTTCGGCCTGTGTGTGGCTGCTTCGGCCACTAAAAGAGTTGTGGCTGCTCCGGCCATGTCTGGTGATGCGGCTCAGATGATAAATGAGCGCCTCGTGCTGGACTGTGGAGGTGTTTTGTCCGTGCCCAGCCAGTACGGTCAAGAAAAGTACGATGGCGACGATATTTACAAGTCCGCGATTCCTGGAGCATATGCCTTCTGCCAGAAGTTCATGAAGCAGTATGGCAGCAATGAGCTCCAGGTGATCAGCCGTGTCAACTTCCCCTCCAGCAAGAAGCACTGGGTGGTTCGCTTCTGCGAGTCACTCGGTCTCTCCGAGAACCAGGTCCACTTGGTTACCGACAGGAAGGACAAGGGGCCGAAAGCTCGTGAGCTGGGGTGCGCCGTAGCTGTGGACGACCAGTCCGACTGTTTGTATCACATCGGTGTGTGCTGCCATGACATTTTGCACGACGTGAAGCCGCTGATCCTGTTCTCTGAGAAAGGCTACAGGAACACCCAACACAAGTGGGACAATTGGGTCCAAAACCGAGTCACCCGTACCACGTCTTGGCTTGCCGTGGCTCGCTTCTGTGCCTTGGACGTGTCAGGCTGGGAGGAGCTTGGCCAAATCGGTCCTCCCAATTGCTGGCACAACGAAGCCACGACAAAGAGATGGTTTCAAATGTGTGAGCCACAGCCCGCGGCTGCTCCGGCCGCAAAGCAAAAGAAGGAAGTAACGGCTGAACCGGCCGAGGAGCTTCCAAGGAAAAAAACGAAACTAGAGACGACGGCTGCTTCGGCAAAAAAGAAAAAAAACGACGACGAGTACTCGTACGAGTACTACAGCGACTCAGACGACAAGCCCGCCGCCCCGTCCGCGTCGTCCTCGTCGTCGGAGCTGTCTGTCCGCGTAGTTAAAGGGGAAACAAAAGCGGCTGCTTCGGCCGACGAAGACGACAGAGCGGCTGCTCCGGCCGAAAAGGACGACAGAGCGGCTGCTCCGGCCGAAAAGGACGACAGAGCGGCTGCTCCGGCCGAAAAGGACGACAGAGCGGCTGCTTCGGCCGAAAAGGACGACATCGCGGCTGCTTCGGCCGAAGAGGACGCAAAGAAAGAAAAAAAAGAGAAGAAGGATAAGCGGGAGAAAAAGCATAAACATGATGATAAATATTATGATAAAAAGCCGGCTGCTTCGGCCGTAAACCTCAAGCCGAACCCAGAAACTGAGAGGCGCGCTCTCAGAGACGAGATGCGGGATCTGGCTGAGAGAACCACCATGATGGCTGAGAGAGCCGAGGCAGCCGCGGCTCAAGCGTCAGCCTCGTCGTCGCAGCGTCCACAAGAGGCTTCCTTCACGTCCTGGCAGGGCCGAAACCCCGACTCGGAGTGGATGCGACGCAAGAGAGAGCGGGCCCAACAGTACCGCGAAAAGGGGGGCCGTCCTCCAGGACCTCGAATCACACCCTGCAGTTATTGCAAACACTGCAAAAAAAACCAACCCGGCGCCTACTGTCCCGGAATACTCTGCCGAGCATGCTGCGAGATGTGGCAGTCTTGGGACAAGAACTACAGGTGCGAACAGCACGGCCGCCGCTAGAGTGAAAAAGACAGCCTTCGTTCGGCTTCGTGGTTTAGGATTTAAGGGTATTTAGTTTAGGGTATTTAAGTTTAAGCCCGAAGTTAAAACCCAAAACCCAAACCCTTCCCTAAACCCCTTATTCCCTAATTAAGTTTCCCCAGGCCCTAGAGTTTCCCGAAACTCTAAACCATTCTAAACCCTAAACCCCAAAAACTTACGAAAGAAAAAGCTTCCCTAAAACATACTTAGGACTTAATTATAGTTTCGCGAAGCATTGCTTAGCCCTTCAAAGTGCCCTCAGACCCTACAACCCCTAAAGCCAAAGCCAACAGTTTCACAGCCCTAGAACCCAATTTTTTTTTAAGCCACGCATGCTGAATCAGAACCACCCGCAGCTGTTACAACTCAAGTTGCAAAGCAAACACACTTCTGGCTGCCTCGGCCACTCCTGGCTGCAGCGGCCATAACTGACAAAACAAAGAAGGTTGTAGCCTGGCTGACACGGCCAGTGTGGCCAGCTGAGGTGGGAATGCCACCGAAAAAAAACCCCAAGGAAAAGGCAAAGGCAAAGGCAAAGGCCAAGTCAATTGAAGGAGTGACGGCCATGGCTGATTCGGCCTGGGCGGACAATTCTCAGGGCAACCTGTGCGCGGAACACTTGATCCGCGTGCACGAGGCCCTTAAAGCGATCCGCGACTGTTCTGTTTTTTTGACGGGATCGATGCGGCAGAACCGCTCACGATTGCTCAGGGCGGGCATCAAGAGCCTTTCGCGATCGGCCAAGCTGTCAAGGTCTTCCAGAGGGATGCCACAGCCCACTACTCCTGCGGCGGGAACTTCTTTTGGTGCGATCAAGTCTGGATGGCAAACCATCGGGTTCCGATCAACAAAGGGCAGGTGCAGGAAATCCAGCGCTTTTACCTGCCGCCCATGGATCCACCGAAAGAATTCACGTATGAAGTCGTTGCGGCTGTTTCGGCCGCCTGTGACGAAGAATTTCACAAGAAAGGCAGCTTTCAGCGGCTGTCTCCGGCCGAGCCCTGCCATGC